GAATGGAGGATTGCAGAATAAAGGTTATTGCTAAAAGCTATGTCTTTTAAATTATAATAGATCGCTCAATGCTAATAGTGAAAGGGAGGGGAAGGAGAAGTAGAAGGCAAGATGACAAGGAAGGGGTAGGTAGGTGTTTGGTATCTTAACTATTTGTAAGGTACCTTGATCCAATGTCATCAAATTATCATAGAAGTAGCTTTTCTGACAAAGCGATAATATGATGGAAATGGACTGCCGATCGTCAAACCCGTAGGTGTCCTTGCCCCGAGTCTACGATCCCTTTTCCGGGAGAGATGCTTTGCTGCATTGGGCGGCTTTACGCGACCTGTTGTATGATATGATACTACATGCGAAGCGGTTTTAGAGCAGAGTACAAAGTACAGTACTGTACAGCATGGCTACATGTCGACTCACCCTTCACATGCTGTATCATCCAACTTTTTTCCCATCCAAGACGGCGATGACAAAAATAACAACAGTGCACGAGTACGAGTAGTCTAGCGTAGTGCTTGGATCATTTCATGATTAAGCTAAAATAATTTTGCTCATTACCGTACTATGACAAGGCCATGTCCACGCGCAGAGGACTGAGGAGAAAAGGAGGGAGGAAAGAAAAAAAAGGGTCGGTGTATGGTATAAACAAAATAAATACTCTACGGTGCTACCGGTATATCGAATTGGCTTGGGAAAAAAATAAAAATAAGAGATAAAAAATGAGCAAAAGAGGGGTTCCCTTCAATATTTTAATAAGCCACGCGCGGGGAGGGGGAACAGCTCGCATACCGTATCATATGCATAAGATAGGCATTCGGTACCCCAAACCTCAAAACAGTCAAGTCCATGCTGGGCGCAATCGCCTGTGCATTCCGAACACAGCCACAGGAGATAACCAATCGGCGCGGTATCGTATCGTATCGTGAGTGGTTGTGCTGATTTTCCCGATGCAGGAACGTGTGCTTGGCATTGTTGCCTTGGGCGGGTGCATTGCTAGTAAAGGGGTCGTACTGATACCGTATTATCGGTATGGCGCCCGAAGTGGTATGGTTGAGGGTTATCATACGTGCTCGTATCGTGATCGTGGGCCGGCTTTGCCATGTTCACGCTTGCAGGGTGGGGAGGGGAGGGGTAGCACCCATACTAGTACAGTGCGGCAACTTACAGTACCGTAATTACTCGAGTACCCTACTCGAACTGTATGTACTCGGGTGCTCGTAGGATGCGGCTCCTGTTTTCACGAGTTTCTTGTTCCTATCGTTATGACACGGTCTTGCATCATAGCGTGGTTCCCCAATCAAAACTGGCGACTGGAGGGGGTAGACTAAGTTTGATGAGGTTCTGTTGAAGATTCACTGTGGTTCCTGGGTTTGGCTGTGATATGCCTGAGGGGCTCCCTGCGGCTTCGACATTCATAGGCTATAATACCGTATTGTATTGGTGTATCTTGGTATGATAACTTGTGCTTTTCTGCTGCTTATCAAGGAACCACGGTGGCGATGGACGCCAATGTTCAAACACCGTGTATTATCGTTCCAGAGCTCAGCAACAAAAAAAAGCTATATATGCCGGAAGTTCAGCTCTTATATAGCCCAATCCTCGGCTCCCTCATGCTGACCGGGACCGCACTGAGGTGGCTTGACGGTACTGTTCGATTAAACAGTGATTTGCACCTCTTCAAACCATGAAATTTCGGGCTAAACCACGATATATCGGTACGGCAAGCCCCATCCCTTATATGCAGCGCACAGCACTCAATGTACGCAACCACCTATGACGACTGCGGTGAATGCCTGCGTGATGAAGCCTTCATTTGAGAATGCACTCTTCACGAAATCCATACGGAGACCCTGTGCTCACCCTCGAACCTGAGATGTGATGATTTCCCGTGTTCGGGCGAGGGTCCGGGTGCACCCCGCAATTGTCACGTGCTCAGGGAACGATTTTCAGGGTCCCGTCTTGTACTCGAGTAAATCTGTTTGAGCTTGCTTCCCCAGCCGGTAACGATCCCAGTTTTTTCATCACAAGTGCAAAACCATGACCTCATTCCCAACTTGAGCACAAACCTAGAATAACACTAGCATACCGGTACATACCGATACCGGTTTGTGTGTTTTTTTGGATTGGGGCCTCACGCCGTGGCAATCATTTCTTATGTTTGGGCAATTCCTGTGAATACTGGCGATGCAGTTTCGCCATGCTAGTTCTCACTTTGTACAGAATGGATAACATCATGGTACGCTCCTACCCGATAGCCCGCGCCGCCCTATGCCGGGTGTGCGGAAAGTCTGCACGATCGCCCTTCAGCGAGGGGAGTCGCTATTTTCCCATGTGGGGTACCAGTGGTACCGGTAGGCAGCTCGAGAAATGTTCCATGTTGTATCACGGACCGCTCTTGAGACTTTGCCCTTTATCAAACAAGTGCCTTCTTCACGTACTGTAGGCCTCCCCACTCTGATAATCATTTGCATGGGCGCAGCGCAACACTCGACCAGACATCACTCCCCCAAGGTACTGTACAGTACCGGTGCTAGAACAGTTAGGAATCCCCTGGGTGATGCCGGTTCAACTGGTCTGGGGATTTCTATTGGTTCGCTGACCGCGGATAGAAGGCCTTATTTAGACTGGAAATGTGCACCATATTGAGGGTGGCCGATACGCGGCTAAACCCACCAGGATACCGTACTCGAGGACTACCGGTACTTGTACAGTAGTACTCGTACACCTAAACAATCTACCGGTATGGCAAGTGCTGTCGTGCCGAGCGCAGCCTCTGTTAACCGACCAGGGCACTGGGACCCTCAGCAGCGGATCCTTGTGATACCCTGCCTTTACGATAGAGGTGGAATGAGGTCGTCAGGTCCCCAGAAGCGCAGTAAAGCATCCTGTGAGGAATGTGAACAATGGCTTCCTGCAGGAATTCTGCTTACTGACATTATCGTTGTCGCGCTTCTACGCTCCCATATAGGGAGTACCCGACCCCTCAATCAGTGTACAAGTACTTGTATCTCTTCATATTCATTATCCCCACGACTTCCCCGCGGTACGTCGCCGCCTTGTCAGGTTTTGTTTTTCCTTCCGGGGATGGTGGTTCTGTTTCTCCAAGTTTCCCCAGTTTACTTTTTTCGCGATCTGGGATTTGCTTTTTCGGCGGTTGTATGCATGCGATGGCTCCCCGTTGTGGGGTGAAAGACGGAGACAGTAAGGTGCTCGACTTGGTGGTGTCTCCTATCCTATCCGTTACCGAATTCCTTGCACACATGAGGGGGTGGGGAAGGAAATGGGCAAAGGTTGTGAGAATTGATAATATTATTATTCTCGTACCGGTCTCTGCGAGTCGTATATTTAGGTCTTCCAAAGGCGCTATTCCTCAGCCCTATCCCATAAACAGCCTCGAAGATGCAGCGCCGCGGTGTGATGGCAGCCGCTCCGCCTTGGGGAGCACAGTCGCTCGGGTAAGTACAGTACTTTCAAAGTGGGCCAAAATTTCATAAAATGCGATGCTCAACTCAAAGGCGAAGAAAATCCTCAGTGGCGCGGGTAACGTACTGTACCGTTCCAATCGGGATACCTATAGGGCGGTGGTGAAGGCGTCATATCGTGGGGCATTCGCCAAGGCAGGGGTTCGAAATGGTCGGGGGCGAGTTCTCAACCGGACACTGGGCTGGTGAGGAGAAGGTGATTTGTGTGGTAATGGTTTGTCGGGGGGGAAGCGAAAAAGTTAGCCTTGCGCAATTCCTACCCAAATCAGGGACAAGGCCTGAGGGCACGCCGTCAGTGACAACTCAAGCGCCAGCATCAAAAGAACCTCATACTCGGCGGTTTGACCAGGCACATGCCGATGATATCTACCGTACTCGAGTACCATCCCTTGAATCCTCCCCGAGAGTGCTGCATACCAGTAGGCACCAATGGCGATCTTACACTTGATGCGAGCAGATCCCTAATGGCCCTAGCACCTTTATGGGGAGACCTGGAAGAGGCTTTGAGCACCCGTACAGTACGGCACAGGTAGGCCAACTGCACCGCGCCCGGGATGGGCAGCCTAGTTTTCCAGGAATGACTCAGATCAAGTTCTCGGGGCTTAGAGGCGCGAGTGGGCGAGAAGAGGGGACGGCAGCTACCCGAGCCGGAGCTGTGTGATACCGGTACTCGAGCACCGGTACAGGTACAGTACTTGTAGAGAGTACCGGTCGCTTCTCATGGGGGAGCCCTGTGATCGAGCATATAACGCCAAGATATGTCAAATGCCTGGCTTCAAGTCTCCATGCTCGAAGTGATAGCGTGGGCTGGCCCGTGCGCATTTAGACTCAGAGTCTCACCATGGTAGCGAACCCTGACGGGCGCCCGGGCGTTTTGTCGATTTAGTGTCACCGATTCACCGTGCAAAACAGAAATCAACTTCATATGTCATCGAGGAGGGATGTTTATTCGACGCGGGCAATAAATGGAGCTAGGCTATTATTTTTGCTCGATTGCCTTGACGGCACTCGAGTGCGGTATTGTGTGCTGTGCTGTGGAACGGAGGTCCAGAATTCAGGCCATCCCAATTAAGTTTGAATAATACGGCAGCCCTGGTGGGTGACTGGGTGAGGTGCAAGTTGATGGATTTTTTTGGGAGAAGGTGGTAGACCTTCCGAAAAGAAGGGAGGAGGGAGGGAGGCTGGAGCAGTTAGTTTGTCGGTTGCGGCGAGCATTTTATCTGGTCGGTGTCGGGTGAACTGCTACGAGTATGATACTGTATTCGAGTACTGTACATAATCTGGTCACCCAGCATCTGACAAGGTGCCAGTCTACCCAATTCCCGGTGTTGCCTTTGCCATGCCGACTTAGTCTATCTACCCTACGCCAACCTCGCCGGATCGATAGATTAAACTGGGGACTGGATTTTGCCGACCGCTCTAGATACCATGGTATGATGGCCCATTGCGGGGTTTCCTCCCCAATGATTTGTTCCCCCGTAGCATGCCCGGATGGGGCTCCTGGTTTTCGGTAAGATACCAATGCTCGTGCTGCACCTGCCCCGACCAAGGTTAAGAGCCCGTGCTTATCCGGCGGAGCAGTCCAACAAGGCCGGAATCGGGCCAGACGCAGCCATGCTGGAGGCGAATAAAACGGAGAGTGAAATATCCGCGTGCAGAACTGAGCGTATTCTTCTACATGGGGAGGGGTCGAGGGAACCTTGCACTTCCTTACTCGAGCACATACCAGTAGCAACTTGCGAGCCGTGGGCATACGCCGACGGCCAACGGCGGATCCGTGTTGGTTGGTGAGTTTTTAGTTTTCAGGACCGGAGGTTCGGAGACTACAGATAATTTTGGCTCCTCATACCGGTGGATGATGATGATTCCCGGAAGCTGTGGTGTTGGCTGATTTTTCCGGCTCTTTCTTTCTTTCTTTCTTTCTTTCCTTCTTTCTTCCCCCCCCCCCTCTTTTTTTTTCCCGATATCACCTTTCTTTACACGACCCAATTACTGGGCTCTCTTCCACACAAGGGAGAAAAAGAAAAAGGCCCAAGGGGACACCACGGCATCCAGAGCTCAAAAAGGTGTGAACAGAGAGGGTAGGGTTTTGAGCTGATGTCCAGATACCAGATTTCATCTGGAACGGGTTTTCTGATAGGAACTCCCTGCCTGCCAGTAGACAAAAATGGTAGGGGACTTGCGGACCAAGACCACGAAAGCCGGAACGGTAGGTGCTGGTACGGTACCGGTATGGTACTCCGCTGGTCCCCGAATGGGCGATGACAGTCCGTGAGACAGATAGAGGCCGTAAAGTCAGATTCCTAATGCTGTGCCGCCGGTTCGAAAGGGGACAGGTACGGTACAATTTCGATACATCGGATTCCCTTCTATGGTATCTGTAAAAATACCCTCCTAAAGATAACCTTGAAAACTAGGTGGCCTGAAGCACGGTATCCCTGGCTCCCATTCCAGCCCATGCGGTAGCTTCTAAGGTGTATGGGCGCCCGCTTTTGGTGCCTGTTGGGGCTGCGAGAATCCTTGTTGGTGGTGAGGTTCCTGAGGGTCCTGAAGAAATGTATATATCATTGCAATAATCCCCTCCCCCGACACTAACCCTCTATTCGCCTTTCCAAAACACTCCCCACCGTCAAAGGACAAAAATAGGGATGAAAAAATAAAAGAAACCCGTTTTGGAATTCGGACCCTCAACGTGTTCTTTTGGGTTGCCGTGCTTGCTTGCTAGTTATCTCCTCGACTACCGGCAAGTTCCTAGAATCCCTCCTTCCCTCGCTGTCAAGTTGATCTCGCTTGCCCGCAGACGATACATATCAGGGATCCGACGAGCCCTTCTCTCTGGCTCTTCCGCTGCAGAGTCCGTCCGTCCTGCACACCCCTTCTCCCCTTCCATCTGCAGACGTCGATCTGTGCAAGCGCTGTTCCTATTCGTCCCTGATTCACAAGCTGCCAGGAAGAACGGGGGACCGCAGTCCTCACCACTTGCTAGCATATCCTTATATCATCGCGCCGACACCTCTCCAGGAAAGAAGAGACTGCAGACTTTTTCTCCACTCTTTCGTGAAGGTTGAGAGCTCGACGGAGTTTTTTTTTATTTTTTTCACCTACGATCCCGTAAAAAGGTACAGGAACAGTACCTTTTTTTAGCTAAACCCATCTTGGCACCCGCTGCTAACTGGCTCCCACGATCAAGGCAGGTCTCAGTTGCAACCACGAAGTGCGGGGATACTGCGGCCCCAGAGCGAGACTCTTCTCAGTCTGCTTTCTCTACTTTTTGATAGAGTGTGCGAGGAAAGCGCCAATTCCTCAGAAAAGAAAAAACATCAACCGTGAGACTCCCCCCCTTCGAAAAACAAAGGAATGAAAAAGAGAGAGAGCGGGAGGGAAGTTGACAATACTAGATCCCGACAAAGTAATTACTCTTCTCATCGATTCTCGCTCGATATTTCTTCCTCCCGGGGGTGGAATCCTGACAGAACCGTTCCGTCCTTGATATTTCGAGCGAGCCGCCGAGGGGCCAGCAACTGGTGCCTGTGATCGCCGGATCCTTTATCGTCAATCAGCCTCCACCCCGCTAATACTACCCACCACTCCCTCTATCCACCACCCCTTCCCCTCTACCACCATCCATAGTAATATCGCCCCCCCCTACATACACGCCTACATACTGCTCACACCCACACCCACGCACCCACACTCTCCATAAACCCACCCACCTAGCAGCTACCTACCTGATCCACTAAGAGGGCACCCAACCGTGCTCTTTGAGGAGGAAACTGGCCCTGTTGCCTCTTCTGTTTCTCTTCTTGCTCTCCCTCTAACAATACCTTGCCGATAGTCTGGTATTATTGTGCCTACCTTTTTGCGATTCTCCTTCTTGCTCCTCCCTCCCCCTCCCCCCCTCCCCCCTTCCTCCTCTCGCCTGTTGCGGTACCTACTACCTCGTCTTCCATCTCTCTTTCTCCGGGTAGCTTGCCTGCTCGCTCTCGTTTTCCTTTCTTCTCCATCCCTTTGCTTCCTTCCTTTGAACCGGCCAGCCGGACCGCTGTTGCTTCCGTATACCCCATCTACGCTGCTTCTCATCCATCCACCACTCCGGCGACAAACCCTGCAAATCATCCTTCACCCACCACCCCCCCCCCGATCCATATTTTTGCTCGCACCATACCTCTCAAGGTGGTCAACCACAGCACACATAGGTTAACTTTCTTGCCCCGACCTTACCCGTCTTGTCGGTCGGATTTTCCTTTTCGGCATCTTTCACTTTCCTCTTATTCTTCTGCTCTTTAGGGGTCCCAGCTTTCCTTTCTCTGCTGTAATTCGCTTCTCATGGTCTTTTAACGAATATCTTACGGCCGAGCATTGCGTACATACCCTTACCCACCAGGAACAACTTCCCACTAGTCCGGGTCAGCACCGAGCAGGCCCTGCCTCGTTCTGCACGCTACTCGCCCACCGCAATCACCGACGATCAGGAACGAGGGCCCCCATTTCCCCAACCTCCTCCCTCTTCTTTCGGGCTGTGGTTCGCACCTGCTTGGGTATTCTACCCACTGGGCTGACATTTGATTGCTACGTTGGAGCTGGCACACCTAACTTTTGGCGCCGGATAAGCGTTGTATCTAGTCATCGCTTGTCTAGAACCACTCCCCCCCCCACACATCACTGGTTTTATATATAGCCCCCTCCACCATATCGCCACTATAAACTCCCCGATCCGGTTGCGGGCCATACTTTCTATCACCGGGGACGGCTCTCCATTCATTTTAGTTGTCTCGAGTTGTTGTTTCGGCAGCCGATTTTGACACACTTTCGTCCTCAAAGCTCCAACAATGCCCAGCGACGACCAACTGGGACCTCCGTCCTTTCAGGCGGTTAACAAAATGAGCTCCAGGCCAAAAGGTCCATTGGGCGTGAACGGTGTTTCTTCTTCGCGGCCACCGGCATCCAGCATCGTATTTCTCTCCAACAGCCCCACGCCGGTGCAAAGCATCCCCAACACTGGCTTTCAGTTGCCATCGAATACTAATGCCACTGCCGCTTCCGAAAACGCGCAAGCTGAGAGTGGCAGATCATCGCCTAGGTCCTCTGAAGGGCGGTCAGACGGAGAGGCATCCCGTTCCCCCACGAAGAACAAGAAGAAGAAGGGCCAGAAGTTCTTTTGCAAAGGGTATGGGTCTTGTAATTTATCTTTTACCCGGAGCGAGCATCTGGCGCGACATATCAGGTAAGTAGGAGACCTACCCTTATCTTCCACGCCCTCCCACACGGGCATATTTATATGTTTGCGGTGCATTTATTGAGTGATTGCGCAGAAAACATACGGGGGAGAGGCCTTTCAATTGCCACTGCGGTCGTGCCTTCTCCCGTCTGGATAATCTCCGACAACACTCTTCGACGGTTCACGCAGACGAGCCAATACCGGATGATTCGTTGGCAGCTGTAAGCAGCCGCTATCAGCGGCACCAGAGGACCGAGCGTACCCGACAAACCCCCCGCATAACCAACCGCTCTAAGCCCCGCTCGAATTCGGGCCCCAAACCTCCCACTTCAGGATCCGGATTATCAGGGCATTCACAGCCACAAACCCCACCACAGCCTTCACAACCTTTGGGGGCCACGCAGGCTCCAGGGGCCTTTGCGGACCCCCCGGCAAAATATCAATCAGGTTTACAGGATTCGTGGGGGGGGGTCGCGGGGCCTAGAAGTTATGGCGGAGTCTCACAGGTTCCACAGACCCCACATAATCCTCCACCACATTCAGTGGAGATGCACCAGAGGCACGAGTCGCGCCATAGAAATCGACCCGAACCGATAATGTTGCCGGACCTCACATCTCCATTTGAAAATTATCGAAACAATACACCACCTGAATCACCTGCTTCCGTGCTTGGTTCCCGTGAGAATTCGTTTTATCAGGGTCGGCGAGCGTCATTCACCCAACCGCTTGCGTCAAACATGACAACCCCTACATCGGCGACATTTACGGGCGCCAATGAAAGCCCGATTGGGAGCCCCATTTTCCCGCCTCTAAATTCAGCAAATTCTTCTGTGATGAACTCCCCTGCATCAGCTTTCCCTTCGACACCTTCGTGGGTCTCAGGGACACGGCACCCTGGCCGAAGGCTCTCGGTCCCTGGCTCTGGATTGCACGGCGACAGGACGCTCCCAATACCATTACCAGGCCCACCTCTCAGGTATCGTACCACGGCTGCCCCTGCCCCTGGCACTGCCGCTTCCTTGCGGGCCCGTGTGGGGATGACCATGTCTCCCGAAGAGGAGGAAGAGAAGATTAAACGTCGGAGGACGTGGCATGAGTCTGGGCCAGAGGCCTCAGTGGCTCGGGAACTGCTCTCTCCGTCCAACACATCTGCTTATGGTATCGGAGGGCAGGGTGGATCCCAATCCCATGCTCAACTTCCCGCGATCTCAAGTCTTCTCAATTTGAATGATACATCTCCACCGCTACGACACACTCCACCCCCAAGGAGAGCGCCGGTGGAGCCAGAGCCAACCCACGATCTTAGCATAAGGATGGCTTCACTGGGTGGGGGTTTAAGAACAATGTCGAGCAGGACGATGAAAGGGCATTCTAGATCCCAGAGTGATGACTTCATGTCGGGCAACTCCCGGCACGGGCAGAGGTGGGGAATGCATTCTGCTGACCCACCCGGTGTCCGCTGGTCCGGGGATACGAGGGATAGCGTCAGCCAGTCATGGAATAGCCCCGGCAGCAGGCGGGAGCCGAATGGCCACCTTCCAGGAATCTTAAGTTCACCGCGACACCCGGAACCTCTGAGGCAGCCATTCACTTATCCAAGCAGCAGTAGCGGGGCGCAAAGCGGGTGGGGGCGTAAGCGCTGCCATAGGGATTCGGTTGGGAGTGGGGAAGACACGAGTGGAAGCGAAGGAGTTGTTACGCCATCAACGAATGAGGAATTGCACCCTGGGATTGTCGGAGAAGGAGCTGCAGAGGTTGACGAGCCACACATTGTGAGGCTTCCTTTCCGCTTCCCACCCCTTTGAATCTCTGTGCTGACAAAGTTTTAGAGCCATCACAAGCCAATGCCTATTGCCATGACTCCCGGCACTTCAACAGGGAGCGCGCATCCTGATACCCCGGTCCGGGACTCTGGATCCTTTAGGCTCGATGTGCTAGTTTCCGCAGCGGCAACAATGGTAGCCGCGGATATTGCTGGGGCGGAACGCCAACGGCCCAGACCTTAGCGAGGAGCAGTAATTTTTTTGCCTTCCTCCTGGTCCCCTCAGGTGCCCATTCTCGCCCGGAAACGGTGTCATTTGTTTTTCGAATTGTGAATATTGCCGTCCCCCCCCCCTTCCTCTCCTCGAGCCATAAATTAGTCCCTTTTTTGAATGGGCCCAGGACAAGCGATTGATTTTCGTTTGTTGTATTCTTTGTTTTCATGCCTTGGATCTTTCACGCAGCCATTTGATTTGATTCATCCACCTTTCTTTCCATCTATTATTGGCGGCTCTGATATGAATGACTTTACGAATCTGCATGCGTCCATCACGACATCGACAGCTAGTTTCATTTCTTTTTCCCCTTACTTGATCACTGCGGAAGCGACTTGCTTCTTATTTTGACCTTCTCTCATGTTTTACATATTTGTTATGATTATATGGCCATTTGAATGTCTCGGGGGGTTCACGATATCTTGGCTTCTGGCATCGACTCTCTGGGTTTTTTCCTCCTTTTCCTTTTCTAGGGACGGTTTTTTTTTTCTTCTTTCATTTTCCATTTGTTGGGAGGGTCTGTTTTGAGTTATCGGCTGGTTTGGTTGGCACTTTGAATTTGATCTTTATCGCACTCTTGTTTTGGTTCCGCGAGGGATTCATCTGCCCCTTTTTACTGCTTTCCCATTTTCCATTTCGTTGTTTATACTTTACTTTCTCCCTTTCCCCCCCTCTACCAAATCTAGGTGGTTTTCATTCCCTCCCCCTTCTACCTTTCGCCGAAGGTTCCCCTATACTCTCTACCGATGGTGGGCTCCTATTGCACAATCTCTTTTTTCCCCATCATTTTCTTGCCATTTTTTCCCCCAACATTTTCTGAGGTTTGTTGTGCGCACACACACATTGTTCTTTACCTGGGTGGCTAACTGTCGTTTCGCGTCCTGTTTGATTTTTTTGCTTTCGGATTACTACCCTTCTACTCATCTAGGGTCCTTTTTTTCTTCCCATTTTCTTTTGAAGGGTAGATTATACATATATTTGAATATATTCTGCTGGCCTATGCTTCTGAGTGCATGCGTATGTGGGGGGAGATATTTTCCGCAGACATGGGGTATCACTCGGCTATGCGATCTATGCTGGTTGACGTGAGAAATGGGGGTGGGTTCCGGAGTGTGCGGAATTGCGGGTATCTCCCTCAGAAATCCATAAACCCTTCACGAGCATCTGCCAAGTCCCTCCCTACAAAAAAAAAAAAGTCCTGCTCCGAACCTTGTGCCCAAAACAACCCCCCCACCTACCTCGTCAGATGCAAAAGCATCCGGACAACCCACGGACCCCTGTGAACTTCCAACTCCGAGTGAGAATATATGGCCGTAGTCACTCACCAAACTTTTATATAAGGTGCGGTGCTAACACCGTGGTCAATTCTTGCGAGCATTATTGGCAATAATATAGGTGTACGGCCTCAGACCGGAACTCAAACCGCTCCGTGTAGCCAGCCTTCCCCTCCACTCTCTCTTTTTCAACCGAAAGCGAGACAAAAGAGAAACAGGAAAGAAAGAAAGGAAGAAAGGGAGAAAAGAAAAAAAAAACCCCCAGTGCCTTTCGACACCAATTTCGCAGACGTCACAAACTCTTCTTCTCAGCCATGCCACTCACAAACGGGCTCTCCGCCCCCTTGATAGCACTTTTAACGTTCAATCTATCGAGCTTATCTAGATCTAGCTTCATGAATTCGTGTTTATTCTTCCACACCACTTGCGTCTCGGCGAATCCCTTGCTGCTACTGGGCGGTGGAGGGGGGTCGGTAATCTATCGTGCCCATTACGTTAACTCCGATTTCATGCGAAGCTCCGAGGGAGGAAGGGGGGGGGGGGGGGTAGTACATACCTTAGTGATAAGATAGGCCGTGCTTGCCTCCGCAATACCATAAATCAACACGCCCAACCAAGGTGTCTTGAGCAAGAGGTAAAACCCTACGCCGAATCCGAACAGCAATCCCTCTCTTTCCCGGAACCACCTCTTCTTCTGCTGCTTGTCAAAACTGATCCTGCAAAAGTATGGCTCAAGTAATTCTCTCATAAGGCCCCTGCTGGCAAAATACCCCTGCAGGAAAACAATCATCCACCTCTTCGGCAGCAGTAGCCCCACACCGAAAACCGCGATCGCAGGAATCGGTCCGGCGGCCCTATTGAACGAGTAGAACGACGCCGCGGGCAACACGAACCGTCCCACAACCGGCAAGAAGGAAGCAAAGTAAACCGCAATCGAGATAGCCGCCCGGCGAGCATACTTGATCAAGAATGGCCTAAGAGCCTTGGCCACGCCCGGGGCACCCGCGCCGCCAGCCTTCCTGGAGTAGAGCCTGAGGTTAGGGTAGTACAGCGCCCTGAGCCCTTCCGGGTTCTCGTCCGCGTGCTTCATGAGGTACGTCTTGTCCACCCACTCGAGACTCTGCATGAACATGTCGTCAAGGGTGGGCACCAGGTACCTCATGGCGCTCATCAGGAAAAAGGGGACCTGCAGCACGCTCTTCTCCAGGAAGTCGAGACCGGATATGATGTCGTCATCCCAGGTCACGGCGGACAGGTCCACGAACAGCCCGACGAAGCCCAGGAGCACCTTCACCCCGAATATGGGCGCCGCGACGAGCAGGCGTAGCGCTGCGCCTATCACCACGGCGAGAAAGGCTTGTCGGTAGTGCTTCATCTCGAAGAGGGAGGGGTTCTGCAGGGCGCGGTAGGCGCCTACAATGGTGAGCTGCGCGCCGCGGATGACAGCGTTTGGGTCGAAATTGGACATTTTGAGGTGGTGATGGCTGGGGGGGGACGAGGGAAGAGGGGAAAGGTTCTGTTGTCCCGATCGTGAGGGTAAGACGGGGGGGAACGAATGGGGGTACACAGCACGTCATCTTTTCACGTGAGGATATGTACTGCATGCATGCATTATATGAGTGGAATTTCGGTCTACGTCCCCCCGATCTGATTAGATTAGATCAGGAAGAAACCGATTGGGCGATCATTGATCCGGCGTCATAAATATCATACTCGTATCATAGATGCCACAGTAGCATGGTCGCTCCTGAAGTGGGTTAAGGTAACCTGCCACGGGGCGAGTATGATATAACATTTAATTAGATAGTCCCTCTCCGCACCGTGCCCTTTTCACCTAATGGTGGACCCGTGGGCATGCGCCCCTTACCCAAGAAAAGTTGCTCGAGTACTTGTACCTAGTCTCCTTACGTCCCCACCGTGCATCCGGAACCGGACAACTACCGTACTGTATAAAGGGTCTTTTGAAGCTAGTAGAGGTGATACTTGTACTAAAACAGAATCACGACATCGTGACATTGTAATACGGTATACCGGTACTCATGTTGCTCGACTTTAGTTGCCTTTTTTTCCTTTTGGTGGGTCAACAGACAAAAAAAAAATGTGACTTCAATCTAGCCACGATGCTTGAGTAAGTGACCAAGCAATCTCATAATTGAATCTTGACCTAAATATAATAGCTATTTTCATACTTTTACTGGAATGGTATATCAGGACTAGGGTAATTGCTGGCCTCCAAATACCCGATGAAAATACAAGTATCATACGGTTTCGGTTCCAGCCTCTCTCCCGATTTGGCCTTCACTGTCCTCAATTATTTATTACATCATGGTTCTCTTATTCCCTATCTCCAGGTGTCAACAAAGTCACTGCTACATCGCCACTCTCTTCTCACAACTATACTCGAGTACGGTACGGTATACTTACGAACCGGGGTTCCCCCTTTTTTTTCCGGCAAAAGACATTTGGGATTTGCGTGACAAATTAATAGTTTCCATGGATCAAATGGATGGCTAAACATCTGACCCTTCAGAGAGACATAAACTGTGTAGGATCCACAAACTATCCTGCAAATCCTCTAGCCATCTTCTTCGCCCTCTGGTCCCTCCGATTATGGTTTGCTCTACTCCCCTTATTAGCCTCCTTCTTCGCCCTCCCCTGCTGCGTCTCTTTCCCATTAGTAGGACCCGCAACGTCCCCACTGCCTCCACGCCCCCTTCCCCTGCCTACACTGCCACTGCCACCTCTTCCGCCTCTCGCACCCATAACTCTCCCACCCCTCCCCCGTGCACCAATCCCCTCATCACCACCAGCACTCCAAGAGCCCTTGGTAAGAAGGTTCTGCGAAACACTCTTATCCGCAAACCTCCTCTCCATAGCTCGTAGGCGGTTCGGCTCCCGATCAAGCATAACCTTCCACCCCTCAATCGCCTCATCGGTCATGTTCGTCCGGTCTTTAAGGTCCCTCCTAGCCTTTCCGCGCCTAGTCACCGAATCACGATTAAAGACCTCAGGCGAAGACTTGTACGCGTTCCAAAGCGCATTCTCCGCATCATCGCCTTCCCGATCACCGGAGTGGTCATCGCCGGGTGGTGCAGATGTGTCTACAGTTCCGCCAATGTCGGCTGCGTCGTAGGTATCATCACGCTCGTCGTCGTCCGGGTCGAAGGCTTCAAGCGCGGCATAGATGGCGCTCTTAGGGACCTCGGGGGCGTTGAGGAGTTTGTCTGCGGTTAGTTTGTTGGTTTTGTTGCCCTGGTGGAGACGGGTGATCGCAGAGGGGTCCAGACGGTCTAGTTCATCGTTGTCAAATATGTTGCGACGGACCGGGAAAACGGGGAATTCCGTATCTGCTGGTTCGGAGGGGGGAGTAGCATACGCTGAGGGTGGTCCCTGGGCTTCGGGTGGAATGCTTTAGGTTTGTTAGTAACCAAGGTAGACGCAAGATGGAGGGGAATGAGTACAATTCCTCCTCCTGATCCACCAAATTCAAATCGCCAGGCAAGTTTCCCTCCAATACCGCGGCGGTAACCCTCTCCACATCCCCATCCATCTGTAGCAAACATCTCCTCACAAAACCCGCCCCAAGGTGGGGTAATATGTCCCGAACACTCCCAACCTTCATCATAAGATTATCCTCCTCCTCTCTACTCAAAGCCTCCAAATCCAGCACCTCTCTCCCCTTCCCCTTATCCTTCCTCCTCACCGGCCCAAAGCTCTTAACCTCATCAAGCACCCCAGCGATCCTCCCCTCCTCCGGAGCCCCATCAACCTCCCGCTCCAGAATCCCAACAACCGGCATCTCCCAAATCAGCCTCTTCACAAACTCACCAGCCTTCTTATCCCTCCTGCCCTCCAAGACAAGCCTATACAGCACATCCCCCAGAAACCCCCAATTCTGCCTCGACGCGACAGCAACCAGCGCCGTCGCCAGCGCCGCCACCTCCCCGCGGACAATGACGCCCTCCATCCACTCATCCCCAGCCAGCAAACTCTCGGAAACCCTCGGTAGAAACCTAATCACCGAGATGGCATCCTCGAGCCCGCACTTTAGCACATCCTTCTCGAAAAGCCCCCACACCTCCTCTCTGTCCAGTAACTCGCGTACGACACGGTTCTTGCCAAACTCCCTGGAGAGCTCCGTCAGGAAGGTTGCCGTGACGAGCTGGCCGGGGACGTGCTTCGGCGAGGCGGTAGCGTATATCCTATGCAGTATCTGCACGACCTTCTGTCTCAACGGAGTGTTCCGGGCCGTCGTCGCTGCCCGGTTCGAAGCATAGGTCGTCAGGAATTCCACGAGGTCTGCATCTCTCAGCGAGTTCTGGAACGAGGGGGCGGGGAGGAGCAAGTGGTGGGTTAGCGCCGTTACGCAAGAGTCTTGGTACTTTGTCCATTTGTCTGGGGGGATCAAGGATTGGATTTCCGGAGGTGGGTATGGAGCGATGGGGATTTCAGGCATGTTTTTTTTTCTTTTTCCTTTTTCCCCCCTCAACTCGTCCTTATCTGGGGAGCGAATTGGTTGCACCTCGGAGCGATTGAGGATGATGGCGATGCTGTCCGTATGATATGATAGAGTGTTTGTTTGTTGAGGAGACTCGTTCGGATTGCTAGTGCCATGATTGCGAGTAACTCAAATTAACATACTGTAACTTGAACCACGCCGTAACGGAAAACCCGGCAGACACGGTGCATAGGATGACGAGCAACCGTACCATAGCATCCGCCATCATCATCATCACCATACGGTACCGTAAAAACCGGCATCATGTGCAGAAAACCTTATGATATGTATGATACTACAGCAGGGGAAGTAACTCGCACAGGGCACGGGGGCCCGATCACTCCATCAAAGTTAGAGTATTCACACAGCACCAGTCGTCTGGAAATCGGCCCCTCCCCAGAGCGGGGGAAAGTCGGCTATGAACGCTCCTTAACGACGGTGCAGTAGCAAAGTTCCCCGGTCTCACCCTGAGAAAAGAATTGAAGCATAAAATTACTCGTACTCGGAATCGGCTCCGCCCCTCTTCAACCTCAGTGGCTCCAATCCTCTATCGAGTGAGTGTTGGTTGAGAACAGTAATGAGTGAGGTGAGAATTTTGCGGTAGGGAAACAAGAGGGTCGGTTTCAGGTGTCTTGCACTATAGGTTACTACATAGTACAAGTACTCGCACACACTTGCTATTTGGCCGCCAGTAGCTATTATAGTTAGGCAGCCCGATAAACTACTATACACTTTGCACAACACCACAACTTCTAGAATGCAAAGAGCTTTTCGTTGATACATGCAGAGCCAAGTATCATAGGGCGGCATTTAACCGTCAAAGTCTACCCACCAAAACAACATCACACCATTCCATCCCTTAACTAACCTAAATTTACTAAGCAAGCCCCCCAACAATGATAGCAGCATTTTAAGAGTAGAAAAGAGGAGAAAGGAAAACAAAAGAAAGAATCAGAAGAAAGTAAAAAAAACAATCAGAAATTGAAGCCCTCTCCTATCCCCTCTCCTTTTCCTTTTTTCCTTTTTTTTTAAAAAAAATTTCAAACTTCCACACCAAGCCTCCTACGGAGCTCACGCTCAGCCTCATCCTCGCCAGATCTCTCACGCTCCCTGGCCGCCTCAGCAATCAGGATCGCCTCACCGGCAGTCTTTTCAAGGTCCTGCTGGACTCCATGCTCGATTCCCTGACCGATTAGCTCCGGGTCAACAAGTGCCATGTCCTCCGCAGCGCGGTTGGGGTCGTACTCCCCGTCGGCGATGCTCATACTTGCGACCGGGGCAACGTTCTGGATCATGGGTTGTTGCTCGTAAGTGTAGTCGGATGCGTCGAATTGTTCCGGGATATGGGGGGCTGCAGAAGATTGGGAAAGTTCGTCCTCAGCTACGGATTGTAGGCCGTCAGCGGCCGGTGTGCCGTTGGAATCTGGAAGGTATCGCTGGCCCTTGACGTCTTCTGAAAGGTCTTCAAGGTCTTTGAGGACCTTATTGACGATTTCGGGTAGAGGGAGGCGTTTATGCGGCACTGTTTGACGCAGCTTCTTATACGCGCGTTCAAGCTCCTTCGCAGACCTAGACTCAGTTAGGATTTAATCAACAAGTTTCGCACGCCGTAAAACATACCAAATCTTATCACTGAGGGCAATATTTTCCCACGGGATTGTCTTCTCTGTTTTGACACCCGAATCCTGAATCCTAATAAAGTCAGCAAGGCCCCCGCAAGGATAGCTTGAAATTTTTAAGAGCATACTGCTTCAACAACCAAATATGGTCCCCAACGAGCATATCCTCAACGAAAGCCTTTGTCTTTTTCTTCTTCCAAGTGCCAGGACTTTTGACAACAGCAACACCCCCAGATCTCGCCTTCTGCTGTTTCATCTTGTTCCACTTATACCGACACTGGATACGACTACGCTTATTGCCCATCAGATCACTAATGACCGTCCAATTGATCTCATTCTCACCCTCATAGTCTATCGTGTTCGCATCAAGGTCAAAGGGATCAGCAATGCCCCTGCGCGTACGGATCCCGGTCAAGACTTCAGTGATGATCTTCTTCAGCTCAGATTCCTCGGATTCATCCCAACGGTCCTTCCCACGGTCCTTGCCGCACTTGCCATAGTTCCTCCAGCGATCGCGACAGTCTTCGCCCATGCGACCCATAGCATCACCGACGGCCTTCCAAGCACTTCCTTTTTCCTTCACAAGCGCCGCGAGGTGCTCATCCTCACTCTCGGTCCACTTTGCGCGGGAATTGAAAACGTGGTATTGGCGGCGGACGTGCTTGTAAATACTAGCTCTGGAGCGTTGTGGGAGGACGGAGCAGACCCCCTCCCAGAAGTCGTCTTTGCGGCGTTCGTTGGCCCAGACTCTTCGACATAGGTCCACATGAGTAAGGCCGTTGTCCTCGGCGTATCTAGCGAGATGAACGTCAATTGCCTGTTTCTCCTCAACCGAGAACGTGCCTCCAGCACTTCCTCCGGAAGGAGTGGCAGTAGCTGTAGCAGACACGGGGCCTGGAGCGGAAGCAGGAGACGCATGAATTGGAAGTTGCTGAAGTGGGGCCGAGGATGAGGGTTGGACCAGATTTGCCGTCGCCGGATCAACAATTTCCTCAGAGACCTTCTTCTTATGAGACTTTTTCTTCTTCTCGGGGCCATCATCGAGTTTCTCTGTCGGCAACCTCCTCTTGCGCTTCCTTGGCTCCTCAATTCCATCCCTCAACATATCGACGGATATATTAGCGGCGGCCGCGGCTGCCGCGGTGGCCTCGTCAAATTCCATCAATGCGGGATCAACTAGCCTATTAGCATCCTCGATCGGATCCTCCCGCTTATTTTTCTTCTTCTCATAGACCGCTCTTCCCTTCTTTATCGGAGGAGAGGTGTGAAAGGCCGATGAACTAAGTACGTCATCTGCGTCCAACGGCGGCGGGGAAGAGGCAGCGGTGTAACCAAGTTCGGTCCCTATAATCAAAAGGTCATCATCTTCATGCAGAGCTGCCCCGGCCGAACCGGAAGCGGGCGCAATCTTGGACATGTGTGCCGCAAGATGTTGGGAGATGATTCTTTGAGAGTCGGGAAGGTCGTCACCTCCTGCAATAGCCGTATCTCCAAGAGCTCCTTCCTCTCCCAGTGCATCCTCATCTCCAGCCGCCTCTCCCGACTTCTTATCCTTCTTCTTCCTCTTCCCCTTCTTCCTCTTCTTCTTTTTCTTCCCCTCGCCATCCGCCGCTGCGACGCCCTTATTCAGGGCCAGGAGCGCCTGGGCGGATTCCTCCTCCATGCTTGTTTGCCGAACAAGGCCAGTTCCATCCTCCTCCACTTGTCCATCCTCCCCCTCCTGTTGGACATATGTGGAGGTAGAATTCCCCATCCTAAGCTCCTCCGTAAATTCCATATAAAAAGGCTCGGTCGGGTAACGTTTCTTAGGTCGGGTAACTGGTGGGTGGTTTTTTTTTATTTTTTTATTCCGATGATACAGACGAACCGGGTAACCCACGATATTTGGTGGTGGTGAGTGGAATGAGGAAAGCAGACGGAGGCGACAGGAGGGTAATAGGGGTGAAGGACTGCTACCCGGACGCCAAGACCCGGAACAAACTAGAGAGGAAAAAGTGTTGGTTGAGCAGTTGATTTGCTGAAAGCCAGCGCAGGTTACCCACCCACATCACAATTAAATAACCCGGACATAGCCATTGGCACTGATTACGAAATACCCTACCCACCTTGGTGTCAGGGCATTCGCGTGTTCCACGAACCCACCGCACAATACAATTGCCCAACTCAGTCACTGCTGGCCACCACACCAGCATGACCAAAGCAGTAATCGACGGGGGAAAAACCCCCCCAGTGCCAACCGACCCATTCCAGAAGAGGAAATGGCTCGGCAAGGCATACCGGTAGTCCACCTGTATCCCCAATTCTCCGGGCACTACCGAGTAATATGGTAGAAAAACTTGACCTCGCAACTCACAGTCCTTTATGCATCGTACCCAATAAACTTGCCATCCTGATCCTCACAATACCGATACTTGCGGTACTCACATATTCTACTAGTAATACATCACCGCCTACAGCCTCACCAACCCATGGCCTCACGGGGTACGCAGACGGAATGCCAGTATTCAATAATGCCATCCCATTAACCAACAATTAATCTACGACCGAGAAACCAATCATCTGATCAACACCCGCTGAAAATGAAATAAAACGGAAACCCAGTGGTATACACAATGCTGAGGAGCGGATGAAGCAAATGAAAATCACAACGCCCAATCAGAGTGGGTTCTCGGCTCCAGTAACAAGACACCACTCGCCCCAATCTTCTCATCGAAGCCACCATCGACAGAATAGATCTGACGGCCCCTCAGCCAAGTTTCGCAGACTTTACCGGTAAGGGTCTTATTTTCGTACGGGGTGACCTTATTTTTGAAGTGAATATCGGACGAGGTTACCTACCGCGGTCAGCATCAATTCACCCAATGCTAACCAATAGACAGGAAAACAAACAGTGAACTTGGCTTCAGGATCAAACACAAGGATATCGGCATCCCATCCGGTTTCAAGGCAGCCCTTCCGGCCGAGGAGTCCGACTTGCTTCGCTGTCTTGTAGCTAGTCCACAGCCCAATTTCCTCAAGCGAAACACCTCTCTTACAACCCTCGGTCCAGAGAACGCTGAGTCCCAAACCAACAGTGGAGATGCCGCCCCAGGCTTTGAAGAAGTCGCCATCTCCGCCGTCTGCGCTTAGCGCCTTTAAGCCGGCAGTGCAAGGAGAATGATCGCTGACGACCGTCTCGATCAAACCTTCCTTGAGAGCGTCCCAGAGGTCGTCACGGTTAGAGCCCTCGCGAATTGGAGGACAGCATTTATAGCGAGTATCACCATTCTCAACATCTTCAGCCGCAAGTGTGAGATAATGAAAGCATGTCTCAGCTGAAATCTTGACACCCGCCTCCTGAGCCGCACGAACAATTGGGATTCCTTCCTTAGCGGAAAGATGGACGATATGGAGCTGTAGTGATGGCGCTGTACCCGCAAGAGAAATAATATCTTCAATGGCATAGGTCTCGAACGCCGGAGGGCGGGATGCCAGGAATGTGCTATAGGCGTCTAGAGGTCCAGCGGGCGCAAGAGGAGGATCGCCATGAAGAACGTGGTCTCCGACGGACATTGAGAGTGGGGGAAGCATCTCGGCATGGAACATGAGGATTGTTGGAGAGTCCTGTAACAGTTAATATCCATCCCAACAATCAGCTCTCTAGCGTTAGCACTCACGTTCAGTTTCTCCATGGCCTTGGCCAGGTCTTTTGTGTTAACGGCCGGAAACTCTTCAACCTATTCACCCGCCCATCGTTAACCAAATTCCCAAGAGCGAGCCGAACCGAAAACCAGACTCACCCCACTCTCGATCAAGAAGCACTTGAATCCCTTCACGCCCGCCTCAATCAACGGCACAAGGTCCTCCTCATTACCAGGGATGATTCCACCATAGAACCCAACATCGACCCAACACTGCCCCTCAGCGGCCTTGATCTTAAGCTCAAGATTTTCGACGGTAGTAGTTGGTGGGATAGCGTTCAGCGGCATATCGATAACAGTGGTAACACCGCCAAACGCTGCAGCCCTCGTTCCCGTCTCAAATCCCTCCCACTCGGTCCTGCCGGGTTCGTTCAGGTGGACGTGTGCGTCCACGAGACCCGGCATTATCACCTTGGGGGAGTAGTCATGATAGATTGTATCCGGTGGAAATGCGGAAGGGCCAGGGATGGAGCGGATTATATCTACGATCTTCCCAGTGGTGGGAGAAATGAGTATGCTTGCGGGTGTCTCCACACCTGGGAGAATGACGCGGGTTGAGCAGAGGACTGTTAGCGGTGCCTCTGGTGGGGCAGCCACATCCTGGGAACTGTTGAGGGAAGCTGTGGGGACTATCGGAATGGCTAGTAGTGGTGCCATTGCATGCCTAATAGAGCGTTCGCGCCGGGTGGTCCGCTTGATAAGGGGTTGTGATATGGATATGAGACAACAGAAGGCTTAGACTCGACAATGGGCAAAGATTTAGCAAACACGCAGAGGAGGGGGGAGGGAGGAAGGAGGTAAAGAAGAAGAAGAAGAACAGAGAGAAGAGAAAGAAGGCTAGTAGAAAATTTAATAGCCTCCGCAATGGAAAAGGAATAACCGGCGCGGCGAAGCCTAACACAGTCAAGGTCCCGCATTGAAGCTATTCACAGACCCACGAGCCAGCTGATAAGGCACGGTATCGTACAAGCACGCTGTGATAACGGGTGAGATTCGGAGAAGGGTCCCTGGCCCCGTGCAGCGCCATGCTCCATCCCCTTGCTCCCTCTCTATCTCCCACCCGCACAATCCATCCATCCTGCGGCCCACCACCCCAATCGCATATAAAGCGCCAGTACCCATGCCGTACTGCACCCTTCATTCCTCCATTCCCCACATCCCCCATATCACCTCCACATTTAAACACCTCCCCAGGTCCAAACTCAAAAAATAAGAAATGTGCTCAACCGCACAAGTGCAAAACCCTCAACTTAGCACAAAATCCATCTCCCCAAATGTAAAAAAAACGAGGAGGAAATTCTCCCACTGGAGGTCTCATATCAGTCTCACGTACCAAAGCATGCCAGTATTCTCTGTCCTCCGCCCCCCCCCCCCCCAGAAAAAAAATGTAAATTCCCAGGGTCCCACCCAACCCACTCATCAACTGACCGGCCCGCACACCGGTAGTCTACCACCCACGACAACTTCCCGGCAATCGATAATTTAAGTTCCCCCCCCCCACTCCCCCTCCTTTGTCAGAGCGACGAAGATAAGGTGGCTTACTAACATCACCACTACTCCTAAAAAAGGGCACGCCCATTGATCGAAAATGGCTGCAACGGAAACAACTACCCAATTGCAACGTTCTGGTGCGGTTTAAGTTTTTTTTTCCTTTTCTTTTTGGTCCTGGTGGTAGCGGCGTGATGATATCTGGGCGAGAGAGAGGGAGAGGGAGATCGATTGACGGTGATTGACATTGTTAGGCCGGGAGTACCAGTCCTTTACAGTACTCGAGCACAACACTTGGTATCATACCGCGCCGTAGATTCACTGGTCCCGTACGCGATATGAATTCGAGTTCTGGAATCCTGATTGTGGGGCTGCGGCACCTTCGCTCCTGGGGGAATTTTTTCTGTAGTTTGGGTGCACGTCTACTAGTATAATACGCTAGCCCTACCGGAAGTTTGTCGAGCTCATCGGGTGCCTCCTCTATCCCGTATTATCGTGGATACAAGTATCATACCAGTATCGGACGACACCACTTCTAGGTTAGAGCCTGTTTAACGTCAAGTCAGAAGAAGGTTTCCGCGGAATTGCCCTTCTGGAAGCTGTTTTGGCAGATGTTGGCATAACATGACCTTCTCACACTTGCGTGCCGTTCCACTCGACGAGCGAACGGTTCTTTCAAAGTAGAGCGGATACGGCTACAGTATCGCGAGATGTACTGCATAGTAGCAACAGTGAAGACACATCGCAGCGAGTTTCGCATAGACTCGGCCGGTGGATGGGTGAAGCCACTCTCAAATATTTGAGTCGATCCGGGGTGGGAATAGTTGGTCCCACCTGGGAGCTGAGTGAAATTTGGGCGCGAGTCGGAGGAAGGCGGTGTTTACGATGGGAACCTCTATCAAGTACAGTACCGTTAACCACCCGTGCCAGTGGACGCCATACCGTGCATCCGCCGCTGGTTGAAAGTCAAAAAAAAGGGCCAACTTTATTATTCTCCCTGGGGAAACTTGTTATTGAATTCTTTCTCTCCTTCCTCTCCTCTTTCAAAATAATCAAATTGGTATCATATTATAGTAATGCCGAAAGCAGTAGGAGAAAAGCAATTCGCGCTGCAATGAAAAGCCCATATGCCGGGAGGGGTCCGGGACCTTTGGTTGAGGTGGTAACTTCCCCACCGCGTTGCCCCAATACCGACACGCACTTGCACTGCTATATCCGCTGTATATCATATCACAAGCCTGTCATCGCGAGAAATAAAGTTCGGACCCCACCACTCATCTACCACCTATACCGTCAGGAACCTTCAATTGAAGTCCCATTCCCTCCCTCTCAAGGCCCCCCTGCACTTGCTCTTCCACGAGCACACCACTATTCCTCCCACCCTCCACCCCGTCCGCCAACACCACATCCCTCTCTTCGGAGGGATTCAGTCCAAGCGCAGGTCTAGCCATTCTACTATCCCCTTCCAGCTCCAAGTCCGCCATCCTCCCATATCCAACGAGTCCGTTGTCCACAAGTGCAAGTCCCGCCTCTGGCTCATGAGCTGATCCATTGATCACCTCAATCTCAGGCGTCCACTTTCTGACCAAATACCGCTTCAAGCGATTATATGCTCCAATGGGCTCATCGTCCAGGGCCTGCCCTGCTGGTGGTCTGGGTGGAAGTAGACGCTTGGGTGACATCCAGTGAAGCATCAACCACCACTTTATCTTGGACGCGCGGCCCTTGGGCTGGACGTAGTTACGAGGACCTGCACGGGACCAGAGCTCTGGTCTGCGGTTGTGGAGATCCGCGTACAGGGCTTCGTATACACCGCGTCGGTGCGGTGATTGACGATGGCGGGTTAGCCAATGCTTAAGCAAATACCAGGATATAACGACCGCCACCATCTATCTCATCGTCAGCCGACCATAGTTACCCTAAGTAGCCGAACTGGGGGGACACATACAAATGGCACAGCAACAATGAAATACCACTTTACTGAGGGGCTTTCCGCGAACGTATCGACGTTCATACCAAAAAATCCAACAATGAACGTCAATGGCAAGAAAACAAACGTAATCCAGGACAATCTCCACATGCTTGTTCCCAGTTGCAAGCTTTCGCGTGAATCTCTAATCCCGACCGACTTATACATGAGTTCCGAGAGGTTGTTCGTTCTTTTGACCAGATCTTCCTGAATGAGGTTGCTGAGCCGATCAAAATCTTCAGGGGACTCTTTCAGCCAGAGCCCTTCGTCCGTTAGATCTCCATCGATTTCTACAAGATACTTTCGCATATCGTTTACTATGTCTATGTGGTAGAACATAAGCTTCTCATACTTGAGCCAGTGCGCTGAATTAGACCATAATTCCGGTGCTCGACTCTCGTCTGCTGGCTGCTCATAAATTTTCTCTTCCTGTGGACGGTCAGCGATAATACATGTTCCGCTCGGGGGCAGGGGGACATACTAGGATACTAACGTGCTCCCAGCTAGCATCTAAAAGTTGGTCCCAGCAATTGGCTATTGCTTTGAATATATCTGTGTTCATTAGCACTGCATACTCTTCAGCTCCACAGAACCAAGTCTTACCTTGAGTAATGATCTTCATACACTCCAACGCCATCTGCCCATCCTCCTCCGGATCGTCATTGGTGAAGTAAAACGGCAACCTCCTCCACCGACTTTCCCATTCACCTCTCGCAGAAATCAACGAATCGTAAATCGAGCGAGTCTCTGAGTTGTCGAATAGAATAACCGTGCTCCCGTTATCGTATAGCTCCTGCAAAGGCCTGGAGCCATGCTCCAGGCCTTGATATGGTGATTCAAAGTCCGGTCCAGGAGTCGGAAGATCCGGCGCAGCATACTGAACATATGCTGAGAGTCGCTGAGAAAAAACATTATACCGGTGGACCGGATTATCTGCTCTGGTCAACAATCCGAACCTCCATTCAATGATCGAGGAAAAAGTGTGCACCATTATCGTCGTATCCCATTAGTCCAGACACACACGATTCCTTATCCTCAATCTCCGCATCTACACACGGGTAGTGCTTCATATAATCCATTCCAAAAGAACATTTTACCACACGCCTCCAAGGGTCGGCGGTTGTCTTCCAACTCTTTCCGACAAGCAATGGCTTTCCGGCCCTCCTCTGCGGCTTCTTTTGCAGTAGCCAGTCGCCGAATTCCTGGAGACCGACGATATCGTCATTATCTTTTATACGAAATTTATGAATCAGGAATTTCGTTGCCCAAGTGCAATTCTGCACATGACTAAGTTCGAAACGATAAGCTTAGGTAAATGGAAGCGAATCAATATGGACGCATACAAAACCCTAAGGGCAGAATTCGTATCCCTCCCGTCTTTATAAACCGATTTCAAGGTGGCTATGTCGTGGATCTCTTGAGCTACAACCCTTCGGTGTCCTTCATGTGATCCTTCGACTTCTTCTCCGGCGCATAAGCTCAAGTCGAAATAATAAACAGGGCAAGCAAACGAACGAACAAACCCTTGCGAACATAATCGATCATCAGAACCCTCGGCTTCAGTTTGGTCTCCGCATTATAATCCTTATGCCACTGAAGTCCTGGACCCCTATCTCTTCCGGCGACTGCCGTTCGTGAGCATTATTGTCCTACCGTACCAGCACAGAGAAAATTCAGCAGACCTTTGGAGGGCATACTAAGTCGCGGTTTACACCCATTTGTAGACAGACCTGGTGAGAAGTGGAAGAGCCCTGTTAGCTTCGGTCGATAACCATCACGGCAACAGACCTAGCCAAGGGTTACAAACCGTCCTCGAAAGACTTGGTCGCAAACGATGTGTTATCCGTATGCCGCCTAGATAACGGTTCCATCTCTTCCCAAGGAACTCACCCGGAGCTAAAAATTGAACTCTGAGGAAAAGAGAAGAGGAAGACGGAAGGGATGCTGTGTCAGCGAACATGCTGAGATGCGGCTGTCGCCGAACCCGTGGAAGGCGAAGCTCATTGGAAGGAATTGACTGGGAGACGCATTGTGGGGCTGGTGGACACGGTTGGGATGTAACCACCGGTATGGGGCGAAGACCGGAGAGGCGGTACGGTACCGTAGTCCGTTGGGGGTTCAATCAAGGGTTGATTCTCCCGTGAGGAAGGAATAAGTGAATGATTTGCCGTTGGACCTGGGAAGGAGGTACCGTACAGTAGCCAGCGTACGGATGAAACCATCGGGGTGATGGCTGCAAGGTGGAGAGAAGGGAGGTTTGTTTAATTTAACACTTTTGTTCGAAATTTCATCAGTCAGCAGCACGATTACTCTACTCCCTAGGTAAGAAAAGTCTCCGAAATCTTAAACGAATGTCATCACTCGATATCGCTCTCAATTAAATTCCGGGCCGCTGCCAACTTGACCCTGAGCCATCTATCCAGAATCCTTCCTTCGGCCCGATGCAGCCTTTAATTCATCGATGCCGGTGCCCCTGCTTGCCCAAGCACGGCACCATACCCTCCAAGCAAGACGATTCCGCTTCACTGCTGCTGCCACCAGGCTCTCGGGGAATTTGTGTCAGTCGGAGAGCGTTGATGCCACCCTCAGCCGTCGAGATCATTGGACTACGGTACTGACTTGCACTCACCTGTAGTCACTCGGTAAGTAGTAAGTACTGAATAATTCACCTTCTTGCTTACGGTACAAAGCACTATCAACTTCTTCCTCCTCACTAATAAGCATTACAGATGCTACAGCCGTACATGGCCGTTGTACCTGTATGTAGCAGAGTTGAGGTCGCACATCTCGGTTAGACGTGTTCTCACTATGATACTTCGCTCTCGTCGGCCAGTGCGCGGGGGAGATTTCGTTCACTACCCCATAAAGTAAGGGTTAGGGTTTAACTGAATACTGGTTTCTGAACTCACGAAACAGTTTTATGTCACAATTTTAGCTGCTGGTCCTAGGAAAATTGAACTGAATCCAATTATGATATCGTATATCTTGAAAGGCGAGGATTGAGGGAAGAACTCGTGATCTCAAGAACTCCGATTCACGCGGCACGGTAAAGGGCTGAACGCCGGCGCCGGAACCCGAAACGTGTTAGGAACCCACGGGTACCTCGGCCGTTGAACCCCCTGAGAGGCTCAAGCTTTACTGTGTCCTTTTTTTTTTTGCATGATACCAGTACTGTGACAACCCTGGCCATATTCTCCAGCTTCACAGCAGATACAACTCGCCACCAATCGAGTCTTACCTTAGTCTCTTTCTCGAAAAATGCGAAGAGGAAGTATTCTCCTGTTATTATCCAGCGCGTCTATAACTACCGCCTCATCAACGCCTCGGGGTGTTTCACCAGAAGGTACTAAGGGCTTCCCATCCCCAAACTCTCAATTCAGGGGAGAGCGAGATGAGGAGTGTGGGAAGGGATAGCACTAATTTAGAGAACAGATGCAAAGCTCTATGCCCCGTCCGCTGAAAAAACCTTCACCTGCCTCACAAACCCGCACGTTTCCATCCCCTACAAGAGCGTGAACGACGACTACTGCGATTGCCCCGACGGCAGCGACGAACCCGGAACCTCCGCGTGCTCCCACCTTCCCCACAAATCCCTCGCGATCCGCGGATTCTACTGCAAGAATGAAAAGCACACGCCGGCATTCCTGCCGCTCGGGCGAGTAAACGACGGGATCTGCGACTACGAGGTCTGCTGCGATGGGTCGGATGAATGGGCTGGTGTGGGAGGAGTCAAGTGCGAGAACAAATGTGGAGAGATTGGGAAAGCTGCTAGGAAATTGGCGGCTGAGAGGGAGAGGCTGAGGAATGAAGGGGCGAGAAAGAAGAAGGAGTTGCTTGACGGGGCGAAGACTATGAGGATTGAGTTGGAGGATAATGTCAAGACTACTCGGGTAAATATTGAGGAGTTGGAGGAGAAGGTCAAGTGGCTGGAGGTTCAACTTAAGGAGACGGAGGAGAAGGAGAGGTTGAAGATGGTTAAGCAGCCGAAGGAGGGATCAAATTTGGGTGTTTTGGTCTCTCTTGCTAGGGAGAGAATGCAGGACCTTAGGACCTCTTTAGAGAAGATTCGGGGTGATAGAGACTCTGCTAGAAGTAAATTGGAGAAGGCTGAGGGGATCTTAAAGGCACTCAAGGAGGGGTATAATCCTAACTTTAATGATGAAGGGGTTAAGGTTGCTGTTAGAGCTTGGGAAGAGTACCTTGCCCAAGAGGAGGAGCATTCAGAGAACAGGGCGGAGGAGCGAGATCTCGATAGCCTTCTTGGTGAAGACGAAATTGACTGGGAAGGGTTCACTGAAGTCGACAATATTACCGAATGTACCCCCCCTTTTCCCCTTCAATTTCTCGCTACACACATATACTGATTCACTGGTGGTATATGGATTTAAAGCATACGCACCAGAAGGCATAAGCACCTGGGTCCATAGTAAGTTCACAGGCTTCAGACAAATGCTTGTAGAGAACGGCCTCTTAGCCGCCAGATCCGACGATGGCATACCGGAGTCCAGAGGTAGGTTCTCCCCCTTCCGTTTGGTCGTCGATCATATCTGACCTCTTTCCCCGCAAGCCCTGGCCTCGGCCCGCCAAGCCCTCCAAACCGGCAAAACCGAAGAGTCAGACGCAAAATCCCGCCTAGAAACCCTTCTCTCAGACCTCACCTACTCCTATGGCGAAGACGACGTCTTCCGCCCCCTAAAGGGCGAATGTATATCCTCCCAATTCGGGGAATACACCTACGAATACTGCTTCCTTGGAACCGCCTATCAAAAGAGCCTAAAGGACTCCTCTTCCGTCTCCCTAGGTGAGTATTCCCGAATCGAAGTGGACAAGTCCGTCAACGATGCCTCCACCCGCGGCATCTTCGAGAGCGGGTGGGAGGAAGCGCACGATGAGGGGCTTAGTGGGGTTAGCCTTATTCACGAGAATGGGCAGCAGTGCTGGAATGGACCAAGGAGGAGTGTCAAGGTGGATCTATATTGCAGCGCCGTTGACGAGCTCAGGAGTGTTAAGGAGGAGGAGAAGTGCGTTTATCGGTTTGAGGTTGGGACCGCGGCGGTTTGTGGGGGGGAGAATGTTGGGGAGAATGTTAGGGATGAGTTGTAGACTTTTTTGGCCTCTATTTTCCCCCTCTTCTCTTGCTAGTTCTGGGGGGGTTTTTTTTTTCTTTTTTTTTTTGCTAGCTTACTGCGTTCGTACTTGCTGTAAGTGCCTAGCGGTCCATTGATAGGTAGGAAGGGAGGAAGGTAAAATGTTATACTGTATTTTACGTTCTCTTTATTTATGATACTCTTTTTATTCAGTATCTTATTAGCGAGTTATGCTGGTATGGAACCGTGGGGGATTCTCCAGAAACTCGTTTGTTTCAGTCCACTAGGCAGTGCGCTATGATAAACTTGCAGTATTATATACTCCGACCATGTCCAGACACGATGTCCCTCCTCCACTTTTCAACTTCCCGACCGCCGTAATAACAACCTCCAACAGCGAGTCCGCTCCGAATCGCATAAGTCCATCCACAGCACCCTTCAAGCCGCGATCGTAAAATCATTGGCACAAGTACTGTATCCGAGAGCTCACACCAAGGAACAGATACCACGGGTATTGAATTAACAACTTTCGATCCTTACTCCATTCCATCCCATTCTACAGTACCTCTACTATATGATATCGTGTCCCGACTCCCTCGCTCACTCACTCACCAATACGGGTACAAGTACAAGTACAGCACCACACTGTTACGAGCCTCCGGGTGATAATATGATACCGGTACTATAACATTCAACAGTCTTCATGGTTAGTCGGGCAGCGATCTTATCGATCGATAGACTCCAACTCGAAGTTGCGGAATACGTTACCACCGGGGGTAAAGCCTTCCTGGGAATTGAGCCTTCGTAGAAGGAGGGGGGGGATGGAGCGGTTGCTGTGATATTATGAGACGATGAGCGGTATTCCTCTGTCGGAGACTATATAACCTCCCTGTGGCGAAGTAGGGTGCATGCACGGTAGCTTTTCTGCACATGCAGTCTCTCTCTCTCTACCTTTGTGTTTCTCTGGCACACTTGTATCGTAGCTGTGCGCCACTGTGCTTTGACGGTACGAGTAAGTGCCACGCTAGACTGCCGTGTTCAGCACACGTTGGCTTCGTAATGGAAGTTATCTTTATGGTATCATACGCTTGTGGTTCCGTTTGAGGTGGAGGGCACGGGGGTAATGGTATCCTGAGTCTCACGTGTGATACGGGTATTAGTTGGAGTGCGTGGTAATCTAGGAGCGAGTGATGGTACGTGATTTGGCCGCAGAATGTTGGTTTGAGTATTATAAGATTATCTATTCGGGAACCCCCCCCGATCGCAGCGGCCCGGGACGGTTTTTTTTACTATGCCTGGTTCTGTTATGTAAATGGGGTCGGCCGGTATAATGAGTCTTCACACCTGAGTTACCGGTACTGCATTCTATCCGCTTATGATGCAAATTTCCTCCTCCTAAGAATGCCTAGGAACTTCCTTTCTACCGGTGGCCTGGGCTCCCAGTCGGATTGAAGGGTGGGCGCTCCTCTGGGTTACGGAATTTCGGATGCTCTGTTACTTGTGTGGATCAGCGGTCAGCATTGAGAGATGGGTTTCCTAGGATCTGATAATTGGAAATGCATACTTTGGGGAATACAGGATTGAGAACTGCGAAACCTGGAGCTGTAGTCAAGTGTATGGTGCAGGGCTTGGGGGCTAGCCCGGAGATCATATTTTTGTGACAATGGTTCGGTAGGATGACGCTGATGGGCGTCGTCTTAGGATCATTTCAAAATAATTGATTAAACGGCAGTATTGGGAGAAAGAAGTGCCTAAAGGAAGAGATATAATAAGCTTAAGCTGCCCTATCGAAGCTTATACTTTCTCAAAATAACAAATCTTCCGGAAAAGAAAAAAAAAACCTCTCATGATTTGCGCAGATGAAAGCACTAGCAGCTGGTTATTTTCCGTGCGCAGTGCTGTGATAACCCCCCCCCCCCCCGGCCTGGACATCCTGTTGGATCCGGAGTCTGTCACAGGCAGAGTCGTTTCGGGAGGTGTCTCACCACGAGGAGTTTGTCGGGAACGTGGATACGCACAAGAGTCCTAATAATACGCAGCTCTTAACCAGATTTATTTGACTGGAAAATACTGATGATAAGTTTAACATGCAAAGAACCCTGGTAAGACTCGACATATTTCATAGTACGAGCTGTATATTAGACTTCCCGACAGTCCTGCTGAAACGACAATCTCCTGACACGACTTTATTAAACTTAATGTCAAGTTGGGTTAGCTCCACGCGCTGTAGTATCATGCTATAATTAGTCCAGTGGTTTCGTATCGTGCGTAACTTAAGTCCAAAGGGAGCCGTTTTCACGCGTGTGTCAGAAGGAATCTTATGGGCGCAATGTGACACCGATGTGCTTGCCCGGGCGTCTTTGACTTGCTCTGGAGTTTCTTTGAGGATGATGGCCCTATTTCTTGAGCAGAGAACCTTGCGTAAAATACATGTTACATAAATATAACATCTACTTAAACTGATAGCAACGGTCGAACGGCAAAAAAAACCCCCCCGGATAAAATTGCGATTTTTGAGAGATCGGGAACGCCATTATTGTAGGTTGTCAAAAGGCGTGATGGATATTTTCCGGCGTGCCTCTAGCCCTGCCTGTGCTGTACGGTAGGTACGAGGTGAAAGCTCGTGCACCATAAATTTTTCGGCATGGGAGGTGCTAATCGGGAATTTCTTATGCCTTAAAAACCACCAGCTGGCACATATTATACTGTTGAGCATGTTTCTCCTAAAAGGGATCGTGTATGGCGCCTTGCAGAACTGTGCCTTTGGAAATTTTATTTTGAAGGTTTATCAGTTTCGGCGTACCGGTGAAGTATCATACTACCGTACTGCTCATACTGATTTAAGTAACTTGCGAATCCTTCCCTTTGCGAGCATGATTGTTTAAAGATGCCTGCTTATCTAAGCGCCTGTCTAATAGTGTCTAAATAGACTGTTTCTTCTCCAGAGGCCGTATGACTTAGACTTGTACTTGTACTTGAATGTATGCTCTTTCTGCATACCTTAGCTGGAACACTCGGAAATTGAGATTCTCACCGGCATCATGATTGTGTGTAGAAATCCAACCTGGGAGTGTGATAGTTCGAAAGTATGAGACTGATTTGCCAAGGGGCTCTGGTAGGAGGGACGGTACCCGAGAATGATCCATGAGGTGTAATCCACTCGAGGGCTTCCCGTTTAAATTTCAATGGCTTGACGTGAACTCAATTTACACTCCAGAGGTATTGGGCCAAAGCCAGGTATATCAACGATTCTCCCGGGAGAAATTGTGTGGTCTTTAGCAAGCCGCGGCGCAAGTGTGATACGATGTTCGTAGAACTGCATCGGTAGTGGGAACATACCGGTAGAGCCCATTTTGCGGAGGCGCCTCCGTAAGCTTCAGCCTTATAGAAGAGAAGAGATCAGGAAAACAATTAACTGGATGCTCGGATACTCAGGTACCGGTATGCCGGCACTCGAGCAAGGAGTGATTAGCGCTTGCACCCGTGTGCGAGAGGGGGGCCCCGGATTGGCCCATTGTCCGGTCTCGTTAATAACATGGGGGGGGGGGGCGTGGGCGATCTTTGAGTTTCTGCGTTAAGCCATGGATGATGGGGCTTTTGTGGCTTCCAGGATTAATATTAAAACTCGACCATATCCCCTCTACCAGGTCGTACCGATATCGGTACCTTCCTCCACTGCCAGCCTGCGACAACCCACTGGGATACTGTGCCTTCGTTAAGCTTCAGAATAACAATCAGCCTCTTCAAAACTTCGAAATGCGGTCGATTGTTCGCCGGCTCATGGGTATTGGGAGTTTATTCCACTTCTTGGGCGTAGGAAGCACTGTCTTCTTCCCGGGAAGCTGTGCGGTTATGGAGGAGGGGGGCGCAAGTTTCTCCTCCGGCACTTCCTATGAGTTTTTCAGCGAGAGCGAAAGGGCAGAGATGGAAGAGGAATCCTGGGAGGTTTTGACGAATGCGGTTCCTGCGGCCTTGGCACTTGCCATTAAGATGCAGGATCCATTGTAAGCGAGCGCTTCCCCCGCTCTCAAGCTTTAGCTGCAGGCTGATACGTTTTGTCCGCAGTAAAGTATTAGATGGAATAGGGGGAGAGGGCTGGAGCTCTGTACAAACCGCACTTGTCCAATTCTCCTCCATATTATACCACGGCCTTGGCTTCATTGGACCGAAGGGAGACGGGAGCGCTCTTTGGAGCAGCACTTGTGGCAGGTAGGAGTGGTTACGAGTCCCATGACAAAAGCCACATCACTTGAACGGGAAAAGCTCCCAGTTTATATGTGTGGGCGGGGTATCGGATGGTTCTTTTGCGTGTTTGTTGCATTGTGCTGATATTGCCATCATTGGAACAGTGGAAAGGAACATGCCTCTCTTTGGCGTGGGCACCGAACAAGGGAGAATGAATGGCGGCCCGTAAACACGATAGCAATTTGCCCTGGTTTCTTCGATCGAGCTAGGATGGTGTCGACCTTGCGGAAGTTCGGCAGTGCGGCGGGAGAGTGCCCAGAAGTCAGCCCTGTAGAGTTAAAAGAGCTTAGAAGTAAGCCTACCACTGATCAAATAGCATCACGGGCGAAGCTAACCTTTCCCCCCCCCCTTGTGCCTGGAAAGGCTTCCCTCTTGTTCGTTGCCTAGCGCAAACAACGCATGTCCATGGAGGCTTAACATCCGCACAAAAACGGAGTTCCGAACAAGAGGTCTTAGCAAGAGGGTGGGCTGGAGGAGTCGATATTGAGGCGTTTGCTTTATACGTAATTTGTAAGCACCAAGAAGCAACCCCCGATTACGTATACAAGAGCTGACCTTGAACATGGGAAGCCGCCTGGAGGCACTCGATATGTGGGTAACTTAGTTAACAGGCCCAAATGTCTCCCGTGTGTTGGGGAGCTCAACCATGACAAGAGTTGCTTGTCTTGGCGATTTTACGGTGGTAAAATTTACCATTCCGTCCTTTCGTACCGTATCATGGATGTTAGGCGCTTAAGGATCTGCGGTTCTCTTCATCTTTTGTATTGCTCTCGATACGTAAACGATTTTTCACCATTATAATTGGTACAGAATGGGTGTCGCTCCTTTTCAGTAGACTGCTGCTAGAGTCTTGGATGGGGCAACGGTCACTTTTAGTTATCACTACGCTATAATAAATCTCAGCAAGCCGCAGCGCCGGTAGACTGTGGGCTGCAGAAAACACTGCAGCCTGGAGCCGGGAAACCTGCCATGAGCCTGGGGCAAACCAAGAGTCACGGTTTCCCCATACACAGGGGTCCGGGGCGTTTCTGGAGGCCCGTTTGAGTTGTTTGGAGGAGGTTCTTAAGTTGGGCACAGTACAAGTACATGTACAGTACAAGCGCCTTGCCCATTTCAGCGATACCCACACAAAAATATGAGCGCTCTCTCAAGAGATTTACGGACTCTACCGGTATCCTCGAGGAAAAATCAATGGAAATCCGCCCTGGACATGATTTTTCCGCCAACCGCACATAATGCTGCGGGGATACGACGCTTCCCCTCCTCCGGCTTTTGGCATGGCCTCTTGATGGAGGGGCTCTGCGGGACCGGCCGAACCCTAACCTGGACTTGAGCCTCCTCTGCAGGAGAGCAAACCTTCTTTTCTGCCGGATCCGCGTGCTGTTGCAGTGGTGTGGCATTGCTTGGATTGGATGGTTATCATGTCGTGCCGTGCTCCAATACTCGAGTACTTTTGTTTGGTACGGTACCGCTGCTCTCGGGAAATTCCCCAATGATCGGTATTAGCGGGGGAGCCCGTTGTTCCCTCGGGATTACTGCCATGTTGGGATATGGTTTATTTGCTCGGGTGTGTCAGCAATCAGATGACTTATTTTTCCTGATGCCATCATCTCTACGAGTATGGGGGACAAGGGCTATATCTCCCGATTTCTGCTCGTATGGACGCCCCCGAGCATATCGAGGATGAAGGATTTGACTTTCCACTTTTGGTGTGCTACTAGTTTGCGCGAACATAGCGCCCGAATAGAGAAAAGAGGGAATTTAGTGATTGGTACGCTTGTATTTTGCTCCTCTGGGCTAAATCAACTGGTATCTGGGAAAATCGACGATACTGCGCTGGATACTCGATTGCTGGTGATTTAATACTGGTCTGTTCACTGCAGCCGTAGTGTTGTAAGGTACTGTACAGTACCCAGATCGTTTATGTTCTGGCGCTCTCTCTCCCTATACCTCTCTCTCTATATATACCCAAGCTTTTATCTCTCATCAGCTTGCGCCAGGCCTCTAGCAGTTCCTAGCGGCTATTCGGTGAGAGCTTGGATGCCTAAACATGGTTGGGCTATATGGGGGAGTGGCGAGAGTTGTAGGGGGGGCGGGGGCAATTTTGGTGGTTTCGCCGCCTAACTGGAATTTACTGCAGCTAAGCAATTGATGACGGCAAGTTTAGGGATAGCTAGGGTGTGCCCATATTACGGATTATCGTGGTCGATGCACTGTTTGCTGGGCCGTAAAAATGACTGGAAGCGACTCCTGTCCCGAACGCAGGCGACTGAGTATCCTGGGTATGGAAAAAGTAGATCGGGGGATCCCACCGCTCGAGCACAATACGAGTAGATTCGGGTCCAAACCTACAGCAGATTTTAGAACTCGGGAATAGTTTATCAGCTGTCTACAGTGTAATATAGCGTATTTGACGATAGCACAATCATTTTGGCCTCAAGATTGCCTGGAGACTATCGGTTCTCCCCGGATAGGCACTCGAAGTGGATTCTGACGTATCTTCACAAACATATCCTAAACACCAGTATTGCTATTAGATATCTACCGCGTAAGTGCGAGCACTTTACTGTGCACCGAGCAGTTGTGCTAGGTGTCGGTTTGATCGGGGGGCACGGTCGGTCAAGTGCCTGGGTCTATTTCCACGGTGCTTTAATAGTGATCTATTCGATGTTAGGAGGTTCCCGGTATTGTAGGGATAAACAAACGGTTGTCGGTACTGCCCTACCCCAGGATTCTTAACTGCAGTGCACAGTGGGGCACTCGTGAGTACTCGTAAAGTACGGCGGAATAAGTTTGAAACGAGTTCTCAAATGGGTCGGCAGCGACCATAGCGGCACAGTACTGGCACTGTGGGTTGAGGGTCAGATAAGTTACGATACGGTGGCCCCCTTGCTAGAGAAGGCGCTTATTTCCGGTTGTTGGAAGATTTGAAAGACCTGGATTGTTTGTCAACCATGGTAGAGCCCCGGGTGGACGCTGGTGATGCGCGATGGCATGATGCCGAAAGCCCCCCATGACAGGCTTTTCATACGATGCTTAACTTGTTTGCGCAAGGGGGGAATTCTCAGAAAGGCCCCCTAGTGATCCCAGATGGGCCCGAATTAGAGCCGGGCAAGGAAGCCGCTCTCGGTAGCATTCTTCCGTCCGCTAAAGTGCTCAAATGAGTGCCCCCCCCTCTGCGTGAACAAACCAAAATCGGAATTCTAGCAAGGACCGCTCCTTTCTGTACGGTCTTGGGGAGTTCGTTGGTGTAATACCAGAAATGGTCTCGGAAAAGGAGAGGAAAGTAGAGAGGAAACATAATTGCCCTACCGGTAGGGGCCTGTCATAGAGGGAGATCGGTAGAGCCGCAAGAGGAGATTAGATTAGGTTGCCGCGCCAACAGAAGAGCTGGATGGAGAAGTTGGCGCGGCTGTACCGTACGTCATCCACAGAAGGTAATCGAAACAAGAGAAAACTGTCGAGTTTCCCGCGGAGTCTCCTTGAAACTGTTCGAACAGCTCGAAGGGAAAGGAGACGGGGGAAAATCAAAGCAAAATAAGGAGCGACAAGCACAGTAATGGTTGAAAGGGGAAATGCTGTACATTTTTGGGAAGAGGTGTGGCCGGGGAGGGGTTTGGGGCTTGTGGAAGGCCGTGGATTTCTATGGATTCTCAAGTAGTTTCTAGCGCAGTCCATGTCCTTCTTCACACTTCGACTCTCGGATTCAGTCTCTGTCCATCCCCCGCCGCCCACTCTGTATAAAGACCATTTCCTTCTCTCCCCCGCCCTTCCTTCCCCTCCTTCCCTCCCATCATTCAACGCTACCCAGGAGACTCCGAGTCCTTTGTCCGTTAAGACTCTTTTCACGAATCTCTTTATCCTCTACGCTACCTAATTTCTCCTACATCAACCAAACATCCGCATAACTCTCTCTAGCCATGGCACCCGCTGTTGGTATCGATCTTGGAACCACCTACTCTTGTGTCGGTGTGTTCAGAGATGACAGAATTGAAATTATTGCCAATGACCAGGGCAACCGAACAACTCCCTCTTTTGTGAGTTTATCTTGGAAAATGATACTGGTTTTCTCTTTATCCTTGAGTGGCTGCTAATACTTTTTCCCCGGCATAGGTTGCCTTTACTGATACCGAACGTTTGATTGGTGACTCCGCAAAGAATCAAGTCGCCATGAACCCGTAAGTTGATCATTGCTCATCTGTTGCCTAGAGAACTCTACTGACGTTTGCTTAGCCATAACACCGTCTTTGACGCAAAGCGTTTGATTGGACGCAAGTTCGTCGAACCAGAGGTGCAGGCAGATATGAAGCATTTCCCCTTTAAGATCATCGATAAGGGCGGAAAGCCGTTCATCCAGGTTGAGTTCAAGGGCGAGACCAAGGTGTTTACTCCCGAGGAAATATCATCTATGGTCCTTACCAAGATGAGGGAGACTGCCGAGTCATACCTTGGTGGAACTGTCAACAATGCGGTTATTACTGTTCCCGCATATTTCAACGATTCGCAACGTCAAGCCACTAAGGACTCTGGTCTGATTGCTGGCCTTAACGTCCTCCGTATCATTAACGAGCCTACCGCGGCTGCCATCGCTTACGGTCTCGACAAAAAGGGCCAGGGAGAGCGTAATGTTCTTATCTTCGATCTGGGTGGTGGTACTTTCGATGTGTCCCTCTTGACTATTGAGGAGGGTATTTTCGAGGTCAAGGCGACTGCTGGTGACACTCACTTGGGTGGTGAGGACTTTGACAACCGTCTCGTCAACCACTTCGTCCAAGAATTCAAGCGCAAGCACAAGAAGGATCTCACTTCCAATGCCCGTGCCCTTCGCCGCCTTCGTACCGCTTGCGAACGTGCTAAGCGTACCCTCTCCTCCTCTGCTCAGACCTCGATCGAAATCGATTCACTCTACGAGGGTATTGATTTCTATACCTCGATCACTCGTGCTCGTTTCGAAGAGTTGTGCCAGGATCTCTTCCGCTCTACCATGGAGCCTGTCGAGCGCGTCCTTCGTGACTCTAAGCTCGATAAGAGCTCCGTCCATGAGATCGTCTTGGTTGGTGGTTCTACCCGTATCCCCAAGGTCCAGAAGCTGGTGTCCGACTTTTTCAACGGGAAGGAACCCAACAAGTCCATCAACCCCGATGAAGCTGTCGCCTACGGCGCTGCTGTCCAGGCTGCCATTCTTTCCGGCGATACCTCTTCTAAGACCCAGGAGATCTTGTTGCTTGACGTTGCCCCCCTTTCCCTCGGCATCGAGACTGCTGGTGGTGTCATGACTCCTTTGATCAAGCGCAATACCACCGTTCCGACCAAGAAGAGCGAGGTTTTCTCGACTTTCTCGGACAACCAACCTGGTGTGTTGATCCAGGTATTCGAGGGCGAGCGCGCTCGCACTAAGGACAATAACTTGCTCGGGAAGTTCGAGCTTACCGGAATCCCCCCCGCCCCCCGTGGTGTACCTCAAATCGAGGTCACCTTCGATATTGATGCTAATGGTATCCTGAACGTCTCTGCTGTTGAGAAGGGTACCGGGAAGACCAACCGGTATGTGTCTTCAAGCTTCCACAACATATTCTTGCGTTATACTGATTGGGTTCTAGTATTACTATCACCAACGACAAGGGTCGTCTCAGCAAGGAGGAGATCGAGCGTATGCTTGCGGAGGCCGAGAAATACAAGGAGGAGGATGATGCGGAGGCGGCAAGAATCCAGGCCAAGAACGGGCTTGAATCTTATGCTTACTCTCTCCGTAACACCCTGGGCGACGAGAAGGTTGAGGAGAAGCTTGACGCTGGTGACAAGGAGAAGCTCAAGAAGGCCATTGATGAAACTGTGGAATGGTTAGACAACAATACCACCGCTACTAAGGTAAGTTCTATTCATTTCAGTTCAGGATAAAGGATACATTCTAACAATTATTACAGGATGAGTTCGAATCTCAGCAGAAGGAGTTGGAAGGGGTTGCTAACCCCATCATGATGAAATTCTACCAGAGCCAAGGTGGTGCTCCTCCTGGGGGCATGCCGGGCGCTGGAGGTTTCCCTGGTGCCGGTGGAGCTCCCCCATCTGGTGGTGGTGATGATGGCCCTCAGGTTGAAGAGGTGGACTAAATGGAAGCCGAATAAACCGCAAAAATACATAGAAGTCTTGTATGCGCAGTTTCCCTCTCCTGTTCTCTTTCTTCCAATAATGTCATCCTGGGGTTTAAGATAGGGGCAGAAAAGTAGCGTGCTTTATTTTTCATTACATCAGGTTTTCCTTTTCCTTCAAGGTTTCCTTCCTACGGTTTCTTACACTTTTTCCCCTTACCCACTTGTATTTACCAAAGGTTCATGGGTCTACGAAATTAAGTTTTCTCTTTTTTTTTTTGCTCGGAATTCGTGTTCCGCAGATCGATTGCACTCGAGAGGGTGAAACAAATAGAAACCCGTATCAGCTTTTGTGTTACCGAAATTTCTACCAGTTTCTATTTTCCTGCAGCGAATTTGTGGGAGTGAGAAATTTTTCGCATCATCTATCCACCTCCGGTTTTCCCCAGTCGGAGAGCAGCCGCAGGGTAGGCGTGACATGAAGCAGCAATGACAACACACAACAGCACAACGGTGTCATGATAAGAGAGGGTACTTGCGAGCTACGATACGATACGCCACGATTGTCTATGGCTCCTCGGTGGTCCCTTTCCTTTCTTTTTCTTTCACTCCCCCCCATTTGTGACGGAGAATTTATTTTCCTTTCTCCTATCGCAAGCGAGATTGTGGCGTTTTGGACGGGAGCACCGGTGCCGGTATGAATGAGTGCGGCAGGGAAATGTTTCGTGGCCGCACGGTATTCGAGTGAGGAAGGGGTTGGCGGCAACGCGCTTAACCCGCACGCATGAAGCAGGCCCAGACTCAGAATGAGATTAGGCTATGTCCTTCCACTTTCTGTCACTGTATCCTGTCACTAACTCTTTGAATTAGAGCCTTCAGCCTCGGGGTTGAAAAGCGTTTGTGCAAGTCTCTCGAGTTGAAGGACTTTGGTGCTTGCACGCCTTTTCCACCAAATCTGGTAGATTCACTTGGAACTTGGCACTCGAAAAAAGCTTTTTCGACCCCGGGTTTGAATGCCGTTGCTGAATTTTGAATGAAAGCCACATATGGCAGACCGGTTCCCACCTTTTGCTAACCGGCTTCAACTCGCTGTTCTCGTTTCGTGTTGACTGGAATTCGCAAGTAATTACTTGCTTACCTGTGTTTCTGATTGGCTGTTTGCCCGGGCCCATCTTGTATAGCACGAGATCACATGATGGTACACGATGGGTGCACGTTATCGTATCTCACAGAGTGTCACTCGGTGGAGATGTCTTACTGCAGCTTTGTACAAGTGTAGCCAGAGGTGCCTGAGGAGTTGCGAATGTTTTTCAGATGTCTACCAGGCAAAGTACTTTGTTCTGCGCTCTTTTAGTAAATGCTCTTTGGGTGAGTAGCAGCATCTAGGAGCTTGGCACCTGGAACTGCCATCGTTCTGCCCTTCCATTCGGAGAGAAGTCTATTTGGGTCAGAATATATACATCTGTGTGTTAAAGAGCTCTAGTAATATGCTCTACAGGTCAGCTATGTTCGGGTATGCGCCTCCAGTGGGGGGGTCTTGCGATGGTTCCAGCACGATTCTGGCACGATATTCTAAGTGCAGCAAAATATCTGCCTTATGCCTCTCGATCCACGGCAGAGTTCTTGCCCCCTCCTGCTTAGTACTACTACTACGAACACTCATTCCTTGCTACCCATATGCCCGGATGGAGGTTGTAACCCCTAGAACCCCTCTAGATACCAGTAGTGTCTGGTCCCTTCAACATTGATTTATATAACTAGCCAATGGTATTTGGTACTGTATTAGGCACCAAACACTGCAGAGGATGTATTGTCGGCACTGTCACAGGTCTTTCTGTTTTTTTTGTTTTTTTCGTGGCGCCCGTCCTAGAGGGATCTTCTGGGGAACATATAGTATAATCGTGAAGGGCTGGCAGTGCCCTGGAAAACAGTACCGCTTCCTAACAGGGGGCGTATCCCGCTGATGCTCTCTAGCTTTATATCACACCTCAGTGTAGGCACACGAGGTCTATCGTATATTCAATTCAATCTATATCCAAATGGCCACAAGTTTGCTGTATCCTGAGCTCTCATGTGAACTCCAACTATCTAAGATATCGAGGCACTCGCCGTGAAACCAAATCCAACTCAATTGGCTCGGCACCTTAAACGGATACAGTCCTTCGGGAAAGGGGCCATCCTTTTACTGCCGCCACCAGTAAACACTCAATCCACAGAGCCAGCCAGGACTCCTTACCAGATCCCAGTTAGTGAAAAACAATTCGATACAAGGCACCAAATCCAACATACCCATCACCCCCAGAGACTCCCAACATGACCAGAGATATTAAGCTTACAACTCGATCCAGATGCCATCCACCACTAACCAAACTAAGATCGCAAGCAAGCAAGCAAAAGTAATCACATGCAGTAAATATCCCACAACACTTCAAACCACCCCCCTCCCCCGCACACCCCCAACATCTACTGTAGCTCAGCATTGAAAGGCCCAAAAGTCCAGAAACCCGCACATCACACGGTTAGTCAACCAACAGGAAGGCCACACAAATCCCCAGAAATGGATAATCGGCAAGGTGCGAGATGTTGTGGGGATGCGACCCTATGGAGGTTCATTCCCTACTTGAATCCGCCGTCAAGCGTCACCCATGCAATATCTCGTTCATTCGTTATGCCGCACCACACCGTACCAATCACACAGTCCGGCGATTTCGCGTCCTCGAGCGTCGGATGCGTGGAAACATCAATCGTCTTCATGGCTTAGTTGGTTAAAGCGTCGGTCTCATAGCATGACCCTCTCTCAGAGTTGGGATATCCGAAGGTCGCGAGTTCGACTCTCGCTGAGGACATTTTACTTTTTCCATGTTCCCTGTCTGCCCCCGGGGGGCTCCTGATTGCGGTTTCCGGGCTGGTAAGATATCTGGCTTTTGGAGGGTTTGGGAGCCCTTATTATTTTTGGGTGATTGGGTGGGTGAGCGGGTATGTTTGGTTATGGTGGTTAGGCAACTTAAAAGTCACAAAGCATTGGCAGGAGCAGGTACCTGGAAAGTCTTGACGGGGATGAACAACTCGGAAACTCGTTATAGCCTACTGTAACTATCGTTACTCCATAAAACTAGTAGAAAGTAATAAGGAATCATTCATTACCCAATGTAATCTAGCTCTAACAAATAATAATAAAAACAATGCACCACCCAAACCTGCGCCCGTATAAAACAACAACTTTCTACCAAGCCAAGCAAGCAGCCAACCATAATACAAAACAAAACCCCCGATTCGTAAACCAAATTACTACGGGGCTCGTTAGTATTCTCGGGGCCACGAGTGGGAGAGGGAGAAAACTCACATGTGAAATATATTGAAAGCAGCAAGTAACAACCCCCTGCTCACTCTCCTGTCTGAGCAACAAATCCTGAATCTTATCCAGCCCCCCATTCGGCTCATCGGACATATGATTCCAAGTGCTCGTATCGCCATACAGCATAGCGGGCGCTTTCACGACTTGTCTCCAATCTTTACACCTCTTGCACTTGAAAGTGTCATGCGTATCGCTATTAGTGTTTGGCTGGAACCGGAACAACTGCTTTAACCCGTCCAGGCCGAAATGTCTTTCCACGTCTTCGACGCCGTCAACGACGGACGTGGAGAGCGACTGCTTGTGTGATTGGCGCTGAAAGATTTTCTCCTCGATTGTTCCTGTGGCAATGAAGCGGTAGACGAAACAGTCCTTTTTCTGTCCATCACGCCAGACTCGCGCTAAGGCTTGCTGGTCCGCGGCTGGGTTCCAGTCCGGATCGAAGAGGACAAGCCGGTTCGCACCGATGAGATTGATGCCACAGCCGCCGGCTTTACTACTAAGAAGGAAGACAAACTCTTCGCCTTCGGGGTCGTTAAACTTGGCCACTAGCTTCGTACGCTTGGAGACGTTCATTGTGCCATCGAGTCTTAGGGCACCGTAGCTGTGGGAGGTGTTAGTAACTATTTGGCAGAAAGATGTGGCATGAATGGTGACCCACCCTCTTGACCGACAGAGTTTTTCAAATACATCTAGGGTTTGCGTGTAATTACTGATGAGAACGATCTTATCCTTTGTCTCCCGCTGGATTCTTGCCAACATCCTGTCCAGTACCATCATCTTGCCGGAATACCAAACTTTGACTTCCCTGTCTCTTCCTCGGGCGTCTTTCGGAACGTAATCATCAGGGTACAGATCCTCGCATCCAGGCAAGTCCTCTGAGAGGTTGAGCAAATCGGGGTGATTGCATAATTTTTTGAGCAGCCCGATAGCTTTCAGAGGCTGGGATCCTTTGCCCCTCAAGATGGATTTAATATCCGGAGACGTGATAAAATAATTGTAAAGATCCGTCTGGAAGGGTGATAACTTGCAGAATACGACGTGCTCGTACTTGACGGGCAGGTACTTCGACAGGAGATCATTGGTACGCCGAATGATGAACTTAGTCACCAACTGGAGAAGCTCTGCAAGTCGTTCGTCTCCTTTCTTACGATCTTCTTCGGAACCATCTGCATCACGACCACGAAGAATAGGAATTTCATATTGCTTCCTGAATTCATTGTGCGTGCCCAAGAAATTAGGGTTTGCGAAGTTTAGAAGGGAAAAGTATTCCGAAAGATCATTCTGCAGAACACCTTCAGTTTATTATACTCGGTCGCCGAAATAATAGACGTGACTAACCTGGATAGGAGTTCCAGACAAGATCACTCGTCGATCAACATTCAAAGTCATCAATGCTTTATATGTTTGATTGTCTCGATTTTTCAATCTGTGCCCCTCATCGGCGAGTAAAAGCCCAATCGGTATGCTGGCGAGATCAGAAACGTGTAGACGTAGGGATTCATAACTGACGATCAGTACGGGTCGAACAACGCTTCTGCCGCTGGATATAGCCCATTGTTTGAGCTGAGCTTTAAGTTCCGCCTTTGAAACCTTACCGTCAATCGCAAAGGGATTGATCGCATCCTTACCGAGCCACTTCACCAGCTCACTCTCCCAATTGCCGACCAATGATGACGGACAGACAACTACGCATTTCTGTATTGTGGGTTTCCCGGGTTCGGGTGATTGCTTAAGTAGAGTCCACATCAAGGCGATACATTGGAGCTATCGAATGAATTAGCACAAAGCCGCACCTCTAATCTCTAATATCTTACCGTCTTGCCCAGGCCCATCTCGTCCGCCATAATACACCCACTTGCTGCAGCGTCCGTCATACCTGTAACGCATCTATACATGAACTATGGAAGTAAAAATGTCAGCATCCGCTCGAGGGGCGCAGCACAACAGCCCCAAGCATACCTTGACACCCTCAACCTGATGAGGCCTCAAAACCTTTGACAACCTTGGATCAATGACCACCGGAACTTTGGGAACCTGATCCTTATCCCCCTTGTTCAAACCCAGTATCTCGGCCAAGCTCTTGTGCATACCCGGAACAGGCTTCTCCTCAATCTTCACCTCACCATTCTCTTCAGTGATCTCAACCTTCTTGTCATCGATCGTGGGGTCATAAAGGACGATCGCAAACTCGCCGCTAGGGTCATGTAGCGGTTTGGCGATAAAATTGACGCTCTTCCTCATCCCCAACGCCGGAGCGGGTCTAAACGGATTCCATGTACCAGCATTCTTGTTAACGAGCGGCACGGCAAATCGCTGTCTGAACACAGCGTCCTTGTCTCTTGCTTTAAACACGGGGAAATTCTTCATCACATCCAAATTGCCCAAAACAATTCTCTTCTCCTCATCCTTGACAAACTCCCCGTCATCCTCGCCGCCATCAGCGCCAGCGTAAGAGCCAACTTTGCGTCGTTTGCGAGGAGGCAGCACTGTCTTCCGTATCGATGGGGCAGATCCAGGTGTTTTAAAGGGCTTGACAAGCTTCGAGAGTGTATCAGGGCCAGCACTGCTATAGAGTCTGCCGGGTAGGGTTCGTTTAGGGGTCACAGTATTTTCGTCGGCGAGAACAGCCGCGGCCTTCTTTGGACGATGCATCGTTTCTCGCGAGAGAATGTGTGCACTGTGTGTCAGTCTGTTAGTTGGGTAGCAGGTCTCGCGTTTTTTTGAGTCGTTGAGGGTGTGAACGCGTTAAGGGAGGGGTCACTGAATGTTAAGGCGTGGGCGAGGGGGGGGGGGGAGACGCGTTGTGACCGAGTCTAGCGCGGAGTCTAGTGGCGAAAGTCACGAGTCAATTTATGGAGCCTGGCATCCAAAACATGCACCAAAGTTGACATTTTCAAATCGGATAGGCTTCACAACTAGTAGCATTATAGAAAAAAAAAACCACACGCTTATTTCCCTTTACTTTCTCTTTAATCCTGAGGGGTTTTTTCTCCCATAATGCTACTAGTTGTGAAGCCCATCTAATTTGAAAAGTTCAACTTTGGTGCACGTTTTGGATGGCAGGCACCATACTCGTAAGTATGATATGATACGGCAAGATATGACACATCGTTGCTCCAAAAAAGATTTTTTCACACCAAAGGTGGGCCGTAGTAACCCTAACCCGTTACCCACACCTCAATTCCCCTCGAAAAACAAAACATTTATGACCGTAGGGCACGGGATGCACACCGTATCCCTCTGTTGAAAGGAGAAAACGAGCAGGGCAGCTACAGTAGAGTCACTGTATGATACCGGTAGCCAGTAGGCCATATCATAGGTGCGATCACTGCGTCTCTAATAGTCATGGAGAGCTGGCATTATGGATGGATCTTATGTAACCTTCATATCACTTTCAACTCTTCAGCAAATTTCGTGTCCCTCGCCCCGGTGCGGTACAGTACCTGTTCTTGGTCTAAAGCGCACGGTAAGCCTTAGGCGCGCGAGAATAACGCTATGTTGCTGTGCGGCAAAATAGCATGTCCGGGCACCCGCACAGTTCTCATGATACTGGGATCTTATATTCTGGGAAGATCCTTCAATCAGTGTGCTATCGCTTTTCCGAAACCTCAGAGTCGATAGCTACTGCAGATTCTCCCTATGGGGCTCCAAGCCATGTATCATGATCACCACACCACCGTATTAGGAATCCCCAGACCAGTGACATAGGAAGGTACTGGTGCTCGAGTACTCGTACGGTAGTTCAATGTTTTGCTTTCCTGGAAACAATACCGGTACAAGTGCCAGGGATAAAGTTTTCGTACGGGACAGGGTTTATTTTGCGGGTTAACCTAAATTAACTGTTCGGATACTTTATCCCTATGCCTTGTATAATATGAGAAGGCCTGCTATATTGTTTCAGGAGCGTTTCAGGAGTGTTAGAGTCGGGATTCAGAATCTGGCAACAGGTGCAGTAACCGAGTGATCTCAAGTGACGAGCTTTGGCTCATCCCCGAGCCCGGACCCCGTTGGAATAACGGGGAGAGCTAGGAATTGCAGAGTAGAACTTTTGTAGAATTTTCCATACTTATGATAGCGAAGGTTACAAATAAGGCTGAATCCTAGAGATCAGAGATACTATACTCGAGTACGGCATCGTGCTGTAATATGCCTAATGCAGAATCTTCGCGACAACCGCAACATATGGGGACGGATGGTCGAATGCCTGCCTCGGCGTTTCCGCACTCAAGAGATAGGATACTTGTACAAAGCCCCACAACCGCCCTCCTCCCCCCCCCCCGCTGGCAACAAAAACTGACTTGTGATGAGGCTCCGCGGATCGAACCAATACAATACTAACAGGCTCCGGAACGGTATCGGCAGACCTATTGAGAAGCAGCGGACTGAGTTTCCTTTACCATCAAACTCGATCAAACCCAACTCCGCCGCTGACTAGCTTTTTGAGCTGCGTCGGTTCTCGGAAGAATTTGTTTTCCGCTTGTGGGGGGAATCGCTCGCATAACGCAAGAACAACACAGCAATCGTGCTTGGCGGGCCGGAGAAGGGCAACTTCTCCAATCTTACAGAGTTTTTCTCATCGCCGAAAATCATCGAGATATTCACCGACCGGGGAAGTTCGTTGAGCTCGTATGGGTTCGAATCCGTTCAGGAAGGAGGCTCCGGCCGAACACCCCCGATCATCGCAGCTTGATCCGGCTTCGGGACAGGAATCACAAGTGCTCTCGACATCGCCGAATCGTAGTAGAGCGAGCTCATGGGAAGGTATAACATATCTAGGACCTTCCCGCTTCCTCTGGCCTATGGGAGGAAGAAGGCTCCAGCTAACTGGGCGTGTTTGTACGTAGCCGTCGACATACCACCCCCTTCACCGGCTCTCCAGAAGCGTAGTCCTCCCCCACGACCACTTTCGAGAAACAGAAGATCCTACCTCCCTCCGCCTGAGACCATAACGGACCCGTTCAATCCTACTACTGAATCTCCGGTGTCTTCGGACTTCGAAGGTAATGATGACGATATACTTACTCAGGGTAGGCCTGCCGCTTATCCTCAACTCCGTTTAGCGCTGATGTTTCTATAGAGCCAACCGAGCTTGGCCGCCCGGGAACAACCAGCTTTCCTAGTGCTGGAAACGATGGAGGGTCCTCAGTGGCCAGGTCTGGACGACAATCGCTGGACGCAGATGCCTTCAAACGACTAATGCTCACGGGCCAAAGTTCGCTCTCTGCGCCCCCGACATCGGAGGCGGGGTTAGCTCCTCCAGCTGTTGCACCGGATAGCTCTACAGACTCAAGTAGTATTTCTCGACAGTCTATCTTCGATCCAATACCGGAGGCAGCAGATGGAGTTCCGGATGAGACACCCAGGACCAGCAATGAATTAGACGAGGAGGGGGAACGGCGTCGACCCAAGGAACGGACTCCTAAACCGAAGCCTCCACCCCCGAGGGCGCGGAATAGGAGCGGCGGAGGATCTCCAGGTTCCCCGCCCTCTTCAACGGCTGATATCTCCGGCCTGACCCCACCTCGACCTCCGTCAATACACTCTGTATCATCGGAGAGATCACTACCACCACCGCCACCACCACCACCAGTTGGCTCAACCAATCCCATTTTAAACGGGGCTGTGTCACCGCCATCTCCTGCGCCATCCATCATCTCAAAGAAAATAGCCCCTTCACCACCACTTTCTCGTCGTCACTCGGTTCAATCAAATACTAACCCCATTCATCCGAGCACACCGGTGGGAAGCGCCAATGGCTCTAAAATGAAGCCACCTCCACCCCCGATCCGCCGGCGCAAGAGCACAAATTCCCGGGCTTCTACACTTCCTTTATCTGCCCTATCTGTCCCTCCGCCACCCCCGCCGCCTCCGCCAAGACGGAACAGAAGCTCCACAGCAAATTCATATGAAAGTTCGGAGGAACTTCTAACTATTCCCCCAGCAGAACCTTTACCCCTACCTGCAGAGCCAGAAATACCAATAGTTCAAGGAACTGAAACAGATATCTTGATTGATCTGGAAAAGTTGCAAAGAGAGGTAGATGAATTACGGGGTAGGTATGAAGGGAGGGGCGTTGGTCCAGCGGTGCCAACTTAATACATACCGTAGCATGCGTGCTGGGCACGTTCCTTTGCTTATTTTTTTAGGACGGAGTTTGATCGGCCGAGGGTGGATTGAGTGGTACTCGCTTTTACTTTCCTAGAATCGGACTTTTATTTTTCTTTCGAGCCAAGAGGAGAGAAAGACCTGAGGAAATGGGCATGCTTGTTCGGGGGTATACCTGTTTTGCGCCGCAGCTTAATAGTGGATATGAATTTTAATGGCTTATCCCATTTATGATTTTGTGAATAAATGTTTGGCTGCAAGTTGCTTGGCTTGTTCGTGGGGTTATCATGTTGCATGTCGTGAGGTCTAGTATTGATTTAGTCTAGCGGCAGTACTGTGGTAACGGTGGCGGCTTTGATTTAGACTATCCATAACAATAAATGCCATCTCATCTCATCTCATGAAGGTCGGATTGACACTAGTCTAACACGCCCAAGTGCCTCGCTTCAGTTGGGGGTGGCAAAATCGGTTGAGCATAAGTATCTAAGATTCTGCTGTAAGATATGGTGGTGGGGGGGCAAGAAAAACCGAATACTTACTCTTCAACCTCAGCGGGCCATAAGACTAATACCACCCAAACATAGCGCCCATTCCCGATGATCTGTCCAATGCCAGGGAGGTCAGAGCCCCAGTTGGACTTGCTGGTGAAGATCTCATCTCCATTCTTGCTAGAAGTGAGAACTAGAGCAATCTTGAGAGGCAGCCATTTCCAGCAGTTTCTGTGGCCATACTCGTACGAGTACAGAGGGTGGGATGCTCCATGATACCGTACATGCAAGTACCGTATGTGGCGCCAATGATCATATTCTCACCCGCACGGTTATCCACATCTTTACCCAACTCTATACCAGTAACTTATGCTCTTCTCCCGATGACGGATTCTTAAACACATATTGACTAGTATCTTACCTCAAGGCCACGGAACCGTTAATCGTAATGCTATGATTCAAATGTCCATCAAGCGGGACTCATTCCGGGGGTCTCAAGTTCTTGAACCATATTATCAGACTTTTCAGAGCAGTACTGAAGATACCAGTTAGTACTAGGGAAACTATTATATGAATTAAAGAGTAGAGGGGAGTATGGTATTGAATGGCGATCACAGAAAGATAAACAGGAATGAAGTACCTGAAATGAGGCACGAAGGCATACCTTCCCCATGCTATATATATATACTAGTAGACTCGGACGATAACAAGAGAGAATACCGGTATTTGACTTGCCCTTTTCCCTGCAGCTCCAACTGCATGAGTATGAATAGTCCTCCAGATTTTCCTCTCCACGTTGTCGGGCCTGCTGTCCAGATAAGCTAGTGCCTCTTGCTCATTAACCCCGAATTCCTGACATATGATAGCTGATGGGGATGGTATGTGGGGTTTTTGCTAGCGGTCAAAATTTCTTTCCATACATGCATACCACAATACGGGCACTTTTCTTTGGCATTTATAGTGCCAAGGTGGGTTACTTGAGTAGGGGGTGGTGTGGCAACAGGTCTCTGTTGATAACTTAATTTACTATCGAGGTTTAGCACCTGCGTGCCTTCTTATTTTTTTTCGCCTACAAGTCATGGGATTGTAATAAAGAACACTTCCTTTTGTAAAACAGGGTAGCTATAGCCGTAAATCATCATTGTTGCATACTCAGGTTATATTATGCTGTGCTCCAACAAACGCAAAGTGGGTATGCCAACGCCACAGACAAACAGCCACACGCACAATACTCGTAGACTTTTCGGTCGCATTCCCAATCCTTGGTATCATATTTCAGCCACAATATTTCCTTCTTTCGATTCTGATAAGCGAATCCTTAAAATATTCCCACCAGCAGCCCTCCACCATGCTCCCACTCCGTGCCATAGCTAGGCGCATCCTCTCACCATCCTTCCGAGCTTCCCGCTGTTCCTCCTCGATCTCAAGTTTCCCTCGGACGATATCCTCTCTCCTACATACCCCTCTCTCCGATGAAAAAGCGAGTGAGACTGTCACCATTACTGGTTGGGTCCGTTCGGTCCGGCGAATGAAGAATGTTTCGTTCGCTCATGTCTCAGATGGCTCGACAATACATCCGCTGCAGGCTGTGTTGACGAAAGAGCAATCGGAGAATTTGTCCATGGGAGCTAGTGTTAAGATAACGGGGGAGTGGAAGGAGTCTGTTAGGGGGAAAGGGCAGCAGAGCCGGGAGCTGTTGGCGGAGAAGGTGGAGGTTTTTGGGGAGGCGGATCCTCTGGTATCGTTTCCCTTCTTATTCTCTTTGAATTTCTCATAATTTTTAAAACCTAATGTCTCTTTTGTTTCCTTTCTGCGGATTGGTGAAAGACGTATCCTCTTCAAAAAAAGTATCAGACTCCGGAGTTCTTGAGAACGCTGTTACATCTCCGATCAAGAATACCGGCGAATACGAACTTACTACACTTGAGATCTGGTCTGATCTCGACACTAACGGCCTTTTTCGCGGAAAACTCATTCATCCAATGCCACACACCAGTAATTACTTCCTCAGACTGCGAAGGTGGTGGAGAAGTCTTCACAATCACTCGTCCGAAGGACTTCTTCAAGACACCCAAGTACCTCACCGTCTCTGGCCAATTACACCTTGAAACGCTCGTAGCGGCGGTCCCTAGGGTGTGGGCTTTGGGCCCGACCTTCCGCGCGGACAAGAGTGACACAGCTAGACACCTTAGCGAGTTCTACATGCTGGAAGTCGAAATCGCGTTCATCGACACTTTAGACCCGTTGATAGCGCTAATAGAGGACATGGTAAAGACGCTTATTCGAAGCATTAGCACTTCTCGTCTGGGTAGGGAAACTTTATCTGCAGCAGGCGGTGGAGATAAAGCGAAAGAACTCGAGGAGCGCTGGAGGGGTTTACTAGAACGTTCTTGGTCTAGGATAACCTACACTGAGGCGATATCAAGACTGGGCTCGGCGGTAGAGCAGGGTGACGTACAGTTTGTTTCCCCCCCAGTCTGGGGTGCGGCATTACAAGCCGAGCACGAGCGCTTTCTTGCACAGACTGTATTCAATGGTCCAGTTTTCGTGACGGATTACCCGAAGGGCCTGAAACCTTTCTATATGCTCCCCTCTGTTAGTACTCCCCCCGCACCGGAGGGAGGCGAAACGGTAGCTTGCTTTGATCTACTCGTCCCGACTGTTGGTGAACTTGTTGGAGGTTCACTAAGGGAGCACCGATACGACGAGCTGCTGGCGGAGATGCGGAGACAGGGCATAACGGTACGGGACGAGGACGAGGAAGCAGAGAGCTTAAGATGGTATTTGGAACTTCGAAAGTGGGGGAGTGTTAAGCATGGTGGGTTCGGATTGGGGTTTGACCGGTTAGTGTGCTATTTGGCTGGTGTGGAGAATATTCGGGAAGCTGTGGCTTTCCCAAGGTGGTATGGTAGATGTGATTGTTAGTCAGGGAGAAGTTTGTGCGATAAGGGAGGAAGGAGGGCAAGCACGGTCGGATGCTGGGTACTGTCTTAGAGTGCTGCATCGTCGCTTGAGTGTGGATATACGAAAGTATAATCGCACGCTCTGAATGCTTTGATATCCCTACACTAGAATTTAGTGACTCTAGGTGCCGCACTTAATAGAAACATGTGGAGTTGCGAGTCCTCTGAAGCCCGGTATCGTACTGTGACCTGTGTTATGCGCTCATTCGATCTGTTTTCTTGCTCACTGCATCCAACCCATTGTGCCCGCTAGCCCAAGAACACTCTACAACTAGTATTTGGCATGAATAGCATTTCATAACCTATCACTCGCGGCCAAAGTTGCTCACTGTAGCAACGGCGCAGATTCAGAGGTGAAAAGAATAGTTAATCGTTTATACAGGAGGGGGAGAAACCAGTCCCCCTATATACTAAACATGAGGGAGAAGAGTTTTTCTAGTGTCCTCTCAGTCGGAACTCTAACAATTTTGGATAACAGGACACATTGCAACACTCCCACTCTTCCATATAACCAAAGAACTAGAATATGGAAGTCAATGTAAAAGATAAGTGAGATAATGAAAAAGGAAAAATCATAGAAACAATAGTACATAGCATGGTGACCTCATTAAAAACCTATCCCTGTAGGAAAAAATCTCATTGAGGGAAAAAGGACCTGAGAGAAGGAAAAGAGTATCACCAATATAGAACAGAGAAAGAAAAAGAAAAAAGAAAAAAGGAACAGAGGAGAGAAATCAATCCTTAGACTCTCACTCAAGTAAAAAAGGCTCATGGTACTTAGAAACTAAGCAATCATGATTGGTAGTCATCTAGGTACTCAGACCGATCAGTAGCATGTGTCTCAAATGTATCAATATTGGAAGTGCCTTGGTAACCCTGTCTGCAAGCATGTTATTTGTTAGTATATAAGATAGTATGACAAGTTCTTTATCAATATAATTATGAATAAAGTGATATTTAACTAATATGTTTTGACCAATTATGGAACTTGGATTTTTTGCTAGATGCAGTGCACTCTGGTTGTCTAAAAAGAGTTGAAATTAGTGGCAGCTGCAGTAGTTCCTTCTCATTTGGCTCCAGGTTACTATAGTGACCAATATTGAGAGGTAGACTAAGAAGTGAGGAAGGTGATAAGGCTATTAGATCCAAGTTCAAGGAGGTAGAGATTTCACATATTAGATATTGCAGCCACTTTGCCTTCTTTGTAACCTCTGAAGTAGCAACATATTCAGCCTCTGTAGATGACAGAATTACTAAACGCTGTTTTTGTGATTTTCAGGAAACAGCTGCTCCAGCGAGCATGAAGAGATATCTGCCAGTTGAGCAACATTGTTCTCTATCTCCAGCCTTGTCAGAATTAGACTAACTGTAAAGTTTGATTGATGAATAGTAATTAGCATTAGACAATTTATACTAGTAGTGTAGCTTGTAAGAAGATATTCTTTGAATGTAGCGTAGCAGTCTCTTTATGGCAGAAAGGTGGCTATTGTTTGCAGATGAGTTGAACTGACTGAGATGCGATATAGCATAATAGAGATCTGGGCAAAAGCCAAGTATGATGGATATTATACTACCTATAAGTGACTGGTACTATTGTTGATCTACTACTGATAGTAGATAATCAGGTTCATCTTGTCCAGAGAGAACTAAGGACTTTAAGATAGTTAATGTACTTACAATACTGTAACGACCCTAAGTTATAGAGCTATGGCAACCTAAGTCTACGCCCATATATAAGACCACAAGGTCGGATGGTAGACTAGGCGGGCATGGTGGCATATGTCCAAGGGATATCTGATGGTCTAGATATTCCAAAGAACAGAAGGTACTTATGGGATAGGTCCTGAAGGTTCCATTCTAGTTCCTAGTTGTATTTTGGTTCCTTGTATCCATGTTGTTGCTTTGTATTCTATTTGACTGGTTCCTTTGGATCCAATCTAGTTGTCTAAACTGGATTTCTTTTCGAATGGCCCAGTGGGCCATTTCTTCGGTTGAAGTGAATTTTTCCTCGCTGTACCTCCATGCTTCTTGATAGGTTCTTCTTAAACCTTTCATGAACCATCTCATAGCAGAGGCTTTGTCGCACTCTGCATCATACTGGAGTAGTCGGAACTCATACCAGTAATCGGTGACATTCTTTGTTCCTTGGCCAATTTCTTCCAATTTGTTTCCTGCTGATTGGCTTAATTCGATATCCATGAATTGGGCTTCAAATACCACCTTGAAGCTGGCCCAGTCCTTCCATGGTGTATTGTTATTGACCATGATAGGTGTTATCTATTTTAGGGCTGTTCCTTCGAGTAGGGTGAGAGTATATCATATTTTGTCCTGGTCGTTTCCTTGCATCCATCCTACTGCATCAAAGTGGGTCAAGAGTTATACTATGAATCCTCGTAACTTGCTTCTCTCTCCATCATATCGTGGTGCACTCTTGACTTTGGATTGTTGTCCTGTTCCCCTTATAGCTTCTCATATCACCTGTTCTACTTCGTTTCCTGGAATCATCTGGGGAGGTGCTGGCCCTGCTGGAGGTGGGCCTAGGGGTAGTGCTGGTCCTGACATTCTCTTAGGTTTCGGTGTTTCCAGTACTTCTTCCTCCTCTGGAAAGGTAACTCGTTTGGGTGTAACTGGACTTGCAGTTCCTGCCGAGTGTTGACTTGCTTTGCTTATTGCTTGTTCTAATTCTTCCAGTCTAAAGCCGCCGTCTTGGAGGTCCAAATCTCCTTCCTGATCTGGGTTGAACGAAGTCATGGTGTAATCGTTAAGTGTCACATTGTTAACACGTTCTAATGTTAAGAATCCTACCGGGTACTGAGGTGTGACAGGTAATGATTCTTAATTTGTAGTGAGGTGATTGTTCTTAGGCCAATGTCTACGTGATGCTGACAGTCAAGTCCTTTTGACTTCTACCTTATTGCGCCTATTTCTCCAATCTTCCCAAGTCTCCGCCCAGGACCTAATCATCCGACACAGGATGAGAAATAGTTTTCCCACTTGGGGAGGAAAGACAATTCTTGGGTTTCTCAAGATAAATCTTAAGGAGCGTAAAGGTAGGTTTTATTGTAATAACTTAAGGGTAGGAAATAAACAAGAAGCACATGTGAAGAGCTAATACTCGGGATCCTATTGACCCTTTATATTGTAGCTCTTCACCTGGCGTGACTCATACTTTACGTCACACGAACCCTGTGACTCATAACTATGAGTCATGTAAAATCCATCAGCCGACTCTTATGAGTCGGTGCGCAACATACCTAAAAGCAATCAAAACATAATAACAAAGTCAGGTGCACAACTCGCATCACCTGAGTGAAACCCATGACTCCTAAATTGAGTCATGTGCAAAAATCATAATATTTTATGACTCACAACTGTGAGTCACGAACAGGTAAACATAATAACCTATGGTGCACTATTGTGTGTCATGTGAAATCCCAACATACCTATAGCTCAGAATTCCTAGCTATGTAAAATCGGTCTTGCTTAGTCACAGTTTGTGACATGTTAGGACTAATCTTATGACCTGTACATACACAGACTTGTTTTCCAAGTCTTTGCAATACTGATTCAAGAATCTCAACCTTCATTACTCTTAAGTGATCTGGGAGATGCGGCCAGCTATGATAGGCTTGTTGCCATAATTCGTTATTTTTTAAATTTAGTTAATACTTTGTATTTATTTAACTTTATTAAATTAAGCTATCTTACCTCCTGACTTTCTTCTTGCAAGCTAGCTTCCAGATTCTGTAATCTCAATTGCTTTTTCTTGGCATAACATCTTCAATATCTTTCACTACATGTGAGAGGAGTAGGTTTACTGTAACCAGTTTGAACTCTTCTTCTCTTGTGATATCTTCTTGTCCATTCAGCTGAAGGGTATTCCTTTACTGATGTGGTAACTCCAGTACTGCTTGGTCCACTACTACCTTCAAAATTACTGGCAGATAAGGGAAGAAACACAAGCTGCTTCTTATACTGCTAACATTTCCATGATCTCTCAGCACTTGTCATAGGTAAAGACTGAGGAATGATAGATTCAGTAATTGACTTATGGGTAGCATGGTGCTTGTAAACATGATTACAAGTAGCAATCCATTGTTTTTTCTTTTGTCATAATGTATCTGAGTCCATGGTCTCGTTATTAGCTATTTGAGGATTCTCCTATCTTCAATGCTAGCATAGCAGACAGTTCAAATTAATATCTCTCATTTTGGCTTCGTATTAAGTACTAGGAAGGAAAACCAAACGTATAGGGAAATTATAAATATATTATTGTTTCTGTAGCAGTGGTTACAACTGATGTAATAGGAAAGTCAATTTTGTAGTTATTTTAATATATATTAATTTACAAGAAACAAGTAAAATACTATGATAAAATTGAGAGTTTTAAAATAATAGGTATTTGGGTTTAAGGACCTAAGACAAAACATTAAGGATGAGTCAGGCGTTATGGTTGCCGTTGCATGAAAAATTGTCACACTTTTTGTTGGAAATTTGGGATAGAGACTAGTCTTCCGGAACCATACAAAGAAAATCCTACAATGCAACTGAGTAAACCACAACCGATAAATGCAACCAAAAACCCCAATGCCCATTCCTCCCTCGTGGCCGGGTGGCTGTGACAAAAACTCAATCTAAGGGGGCACAAGGAGCATCAGGGGAAATTCTTTTTTTTGCTGATGTATGTTTATAGAATATCTAATAGGCTTTCTCCACTTGAGATTTCTGATCGGCATCTAACTTATTTCCTGATCTCCAACCTCTCATAAACTTAGCCAACTCGTTAGTAGTGAAGTGGGATCTGAACTAGGTAGGCTCCCCGCCGCCGGTTAGGCCACCAAAGGCGTGTCTAAACTGCTTCCTGGGCATGAGGAAATTTGGAGTTATTAAATTTCCTGTACCTGTACCTACTGGGAGCTCTACGACCCATATAAGGTGTTCTCAGGGGTACCGGTATCCTGCGCTCTCTTCCCGTCATTTTCTTACCTATTTGTGAAGAAAAATAAAATCATTGGAAAAGGCTCGAGTTAGCTCTCCCCAGGGGATGCTTCGGCTCGTAAAGGACATTGCGTTGCTATGGCCAAGTTTGCCTGGAGGTCTCTACTAGTCGCAGGATGACAGATAGGCCAGGGAATTAGTAGAATGCAGCTATGCATGACGGATCCCG